TGCTGTAACTTTTCGAATGTTAAACAAATGTCAAAAGTTAAATCCAATTTTGCTTAGAATTACTTTCCTGAAAATATAAAAATTCATTTTTAAATAAACTTGTAATTAAAAAATTATCTTTTTAGCATTTTAAAAAATTCAGAAATGGCATGAAAATATCAATTTTTAAATGAATTTTTATATTTTCAGCGAAGTAATTCCGAGCAAAAATTGTGTCTAATTATTGAAATCGGGTAAAAATTCGAAAAGTGGCAGCGTTTTTAAAAATCCGGATTCGGGCTGAATTATTTTTTGAAAATTTTGCCACGGGCAGTCTGGTTCAAGTGCCGGGGGATTGGAACTTACAATGGAACCTTTTTTCAAGCTACACGAGATAAGCTTAGTGGCTTATGCTAAAAAATCAAGCTAAAAATTAGAAATGACGTGGTACTTATCTTTCCGTTGAATGGGCACTTGGAGGTCAAATATTTGAGGGCAAAGTTCACAGTAGCGGCCTGCTTTTTTCTCAAGCGGGCGAGCGGAGGAGTGAAAATTTTCTCCTTCGAGGTCACTCCGCTCCCTTCACTCTCGCACTTCATTCAATGCATATTATTTTTGACAAAATTTCACAACCTCGTAAATTGCTTCATACATTCATATAATTTTATATTTGCTTTTTAAAATCCTACTATCCACCGATCCGTAATAAAAAAGTGACGATGGGTTCAATTAATGATAACTTATAATTTATAAAATATATATATTTATAGCAAATATAAAATTATATGAATGTATGCACCAATTTACGAGATTGTGAAATTTTGTCAAAAATAATATGCATTGAATGAAGTGCGAGAGTGAAGGGAGCGGAGTGACCTCGAAGGAGAAAATTTTCACTCCTCCGCTCGCCCGCTTGAGAAAAAACAGGCTGCTACTGTGAACTTTGCCCTCAAATATTTGACCTCCAAGTGCCCATTCAACGGAAAGATAAGTACCACGTCATTTCTAATTTTTAGCTTGATTTTTTAGCAGATTGCACTAAGCTTATCTCGTGTAGCTTGAAAAAAGGTTCCATTGTTAGTACCTGGGAAACGTCACCCAAAAGTTCCGATTCCCTGGACTCTGGACTTTTTAGTTATGCAAGTTACAGGGAAACGGAACCCACTTGTCGCAGGATTTAGCGGGTGTCGATTCCCCGGTACCCTCTTACGCAAAAGTTACGATTCCACGGAACCCAACATTTTTCTTTCATTTTTCATAATTTGAATTATCTCAAATTAACCTCCCACAAACGAAGAACATTTGATAAAAAAATTAGAATTTTTTATAGTGGCAGAGGTTCCCAAAATCGCACATTTCTGACAAATTTGAGGAGCGGCAAGCTCAAAAAGTAACGGGGAATCGTCACCCAACAATTATTTTTAGGAAAAAATATAGTTATTTTTAGGGGAAAATAATTGTAACATAATAATAACGTAATAATTGCAAAATAACTGTATTTTCCCTAAAAATAATTGTTGGGTGACGATTCTCCGTTACTTTTTGAACTTGCCGCCCCTCAAATTTGTCAGAAATGTGCGATTTTGGGAACCTCTGCCACTATAAAAAATTCTAATTTTTTTATCAAATGTTCTTCGTTTGTGGGAGGTTAATTTGAGATAATTCAAATTTTGTGCGGAAATTTATTCAATTTATGAAAAATAAAAGAAAAATGTTGGGTTCCGGGGAATCGTCTCTTACGCTTTTTTGCGTAAGAGGGTGCCGGGGAATCGAAGCCCGGTAAATCCTGCGACAAGTGGGTTCCGTTTCCCTGTAACTTGCATAACTAAAAAGTCCAGGGAATTGGAACTTTTGGGTGACTTTTCCCAGGTACTAAGTTCCAATCCCCCGGCACTTGAACCAGACTGACGGGCGTTAATGTGCCCATTCAGGAAAAGGCAAAAATCCGGATCCATTTATTTCTTCGTGTGAACAATTTAAAATTAGTCCGGCCGATATCAGCGGCAACCACCTCACACCTTCTCATTGTAAGTACTTATTGGAGAAATCGTATCTCACATGGAGATTATGTATCGCTGCATGTTTACAAGTAAATAGCATGTTTCGTAGTAAATGTACACAGACCAAGACTTTCTACATATTCCTTGAACATTGTGACTCGCAATTTGCGAAATTGATAAGTAAAACGATCTCCACAACGAAATTACTGCCATTCCTGCAATAACTCAGCTACGTTGCTTTGTGTGTGTGTGCACATCAAATCGATTACAGCTGAATTATCCGTGTCCACCATACGTGTCCACCATACCAGCATTATTTAAAGAAATTAGTGCATATGCAGTTCACATGAGGATGTCATTATTCCATTGTGCTTGTTCATTCTTAAACACCGACACGAATGACAAATTAAACTTCAATCCCTGCTTGATACATATATAAATAAAATGGTGTCTTTAAAGAAAACGAAGCGACGGATGCATAACAGATTTCCTGATTTTTACTACAATCCAAATCATTCCGGAAGGAGATTGTGTATACTAAATATTTAGGGTCAATTTTACATTGCACGTGTTCACCAGAAAGGAAAATACAGATATATAGCATGAATTTCGGCAATGTATTAAATATTGGAGTTTTTTCCTCCTTTGTGTTATTGCTTTATATTTTTGCTCAAGTTTCTATAAGGCATAGATAGATAGAAAAAAGGATTTTGACAAGGATAAACGCCGTTTTATTACGTGAAGAAGCATGCTTTTGAAAAAAACGGTAAATAATTATTACGGTTTTCTTTCAGGAGAGAACATTGGTGTTCACTCACAAGTCATATTTAATTCGCATAATATGTAGGCGATAACATCTTACACTTAAATTTTAATGATGTTGACAAGGTAAGACTGTGCACTTATCAAGTGCTCCAGTCATATTTTAAATTATTGGTCCTTCTCTACAATTTGCAATTGTTTAAATACCTATGTTCATCCCCGTCCGTGCTACATACATATGCAGAAGGCTGATGGAAAGGGTTGTAATAGATAAAATATGACTCACTCACTCACTAACTACGCATGTACATACATAGTTTATCATTCTAAGAAAACCTACGTACGTACGTATACATGTAAGTCTGCGTTTACTGTTGGCACGTTTGTTGGACACGTGGATTTTTTTATGATCAGTCATAACATCACACAGTACCAAGCAACGTAAGTATGTGGCTGCATCATAATATGTACATGCTTAAAAATCCAATCCACCCATCTACATCGAATCCACACATTGCAACTTGCACACATTTACATTACAGTACCAAGCAACGTATGTGGCTGCATCATAATATGTAATACATACTTGCTTAAAAATCCAATCCACACATTGCAACTTGCACACATTTACATTTTATAATATTAACCAATTTTTGTCAAGCTTCATTCCTCCCACAGTCAGCGAACGACAAGTGACAAAAAACGCTACCTAGCTCCCAGGTATATGTATTTACTTATGCATCGGAAAATAAGTTATTAAGTCCTTTGTACATACGTTCGTACGTACATGGTCAGTTTTTTGTGATTTTTGAATTGTGTATCCATTCAGAGTATGTACGAATGCGAATATGGTACATTTGTGCACTCTTAGAAAACTGGGATTAAATCATTACGGACCGGAGAACACATGTATGTATGTGACTTAATAGGAATTACCGTTCAGTAATGTTGTGGTAATGAAAGATTTACCACTCGGAAACAATTTACCACCAATTCGGTAGGAAATTATTACCAAATCTATACCAGCACGGAGTTGGTATGTGACTCTACCTGATTTTTAACATTTGTGATGAAGTTAAGCCAACTAAATACATAAATATGAATGTGTCGACACTAATCAAATTACTGCCTTAGTTATTTATTGCCCACCTTGTAAGTATTCATCCGTCCACGAAACAAATGGGTGTACATATTACGATTACGTTTGAAAATGGAGAATAACTTGTAAATTAGTACGAATTTCGAAAAATGTTGCTAGAAAACTATGAGATTTTTGTTCGCAAATTTATCCGAAAATATGCATGTTTGATTTCTAGGGTTGGCCAAGATATTTTGTTTCAAAGATACAAGATACAAGATACAAAATATTTGAACGAAACCTTAAGATAGAAGATACTCAATACAAATAATTAGAGTTACACAAGATACAAGATACAAGATAGATTTTATCTGCTGTGATCCCAGATACAAGATACAAGATATTTATTTGAAATAATTTTTTCAAGATACAAGATAAATTATTCGGAGCTTGCAAAAAAACATGAAATAACGAAGCACCACTTGATCTTTGTATCGTAGCCGAGTAACTTGTTAATATTGATAGCGTAGACTCATAACTTACATTGTAATTTATAATGCAAGTCCCTGTTTACAATTTATAAACAAATATGAGGATTTCAACTGTGGTGACCCATACTGATTTTTTAAAATTATTCTATGGAACTGAAATTATTATTACCAGTATTTTCAGTTGAAATTTAGAATAATTTCTCTAATGGTGGTACAAATTAGGAATATAAAGGAAAATTACAAAATTTTCCAACGTGCGAGTGTTTATTTACTGTGGATAAATAAATATTACGACGTTATACAACCGAACCTTGCGTCTGGCTCGGTAAAGCTGTACACTGAGGTTTTTAAATCTTCATAATTCCAAGTTTTAATACTACCAAATATGCAAGTTTCCCGGTTTTTCACTAAAAATTTATCTTGTATCTTGACTAGTATTTCAAATAAAATTTGATCGAAATAAATTCTCCAGATACAAGATACAAGATACAAAATACTGTTTGAGAAACGTTCAGATACAAGATAAAAGATAAGATAAACTCCGTTACACAAGATACAAGATACAAGATATATCTTGTATCTTATCTGATATCATGTATCTTGTTAAATTATCTTGGCCAACCCTGTTGATTTCGCGATTACTGGTAAGCTCCTCACAAACGATCGTGGAAACCAGGAGAACTAAATTATGCCACAGTGGCAGGATTGATCAACTTTTTAAATTTGCGAATCCACTCAGGACAATAAGTTTTTCGAAATCGCTAAATGAGGGACTTAAAACGTTACCGTGAGTACGTTCAAGGTGAATTTTTTGTAATAAAAAAATAAGCCAAGTGCGCATCAAGCACTATTCTTTCAACTGATTACCACATGTAAATACAGTCGGATAGACAAAATGCACACAAAAAAATGACAAAAACTCATGCATCCCCACGTGCAAAGGTAAAATCAGTATAGGAAATTGCAAAGCTCATTCACAATTTAACAGAGCACAAGTGAACACAAGCCATATTTACAATGCAATGGATCAAGTTACTTCAACAACGTTGCACTCCTTTCGTGTTTCTGAGTGAGTCATTTAGTGTATTTTTGCATTAATTGATTGATTAATTAATCAATTAATTAATCAATTAGTTACTTGATTTTGCATGTCATTAACTCAATTTCAAATAAAGTTTCCTGCCTTTGTTCAGCAGGGTTGGAGTAGTAAATCCTAAACTGAGAAGAATGAGGAGGGTTAATTTTTGTGTATATCTCACACTCCTGGTAAGTTTAATAAGTTATAAATAAATTAGATTATTTATTAAAAAATCAACCTCTCAATTAATAATAGATTTATGTATATACTTTAAATAATCTGGTAATAAAATATTACCGACATGTACTTAATACTTATACATAAGGCTTGTAGTACATATCTGTTGCTACCGTTTTATTACAATGTGAATTATAAATTTTTACGCTACAGACTGTTTAAGTATGTACATATGTATGGGTACAAAAAAACTGTTTAATGTTTATTACCGAGCGGTTAAAAAAAATTCTAAACTGTGAGTATCCATAGAGTTTTTATATTTTATTAAGAGCATCATCATTCAAAATGTTTGATCATAACAAGTGATATAAAGCAGGTCAAAAATTAAGTAAAACATAATTAATTTGAATTTTTGGATCCTTTTTCCAAATTTCTTTTGATGAAGTGATTATAATCGTCAAGAGATTATAACCTGTTGACGACAAACTACACACATTTGTGTGGTATTTTATTTTCTGTTGACGACGAAATATACAAATGTGTGTATTGCAAAAATTACCCTGACACTAAAATTTCTTAAAAAAGAGTATTTATTTTTACGGTATTTTGTGGAAAATTCAACGGTAGCAAGTGGATTTTTCCGACATTTTCCTTCTGAAATTTTGGAATTTCCCCTATACCGACCAATGTTAAAAAGTGGATTTTTCGTGTTTTTAGCCAAAAAATTAGAAAATTTGAAACTGGTTGAAAATTATAATTGGTTGCTAGCAGGTGTAATTATGCTATCAACATCGTACCGATGGGAAATTTTATTTAAAAATCAGAAGTACGAAAGAGGTTAAGGATAATTGGTCGTCGAATTTAACTACAGACGCGTAGTTATTTATCGAGTTCTCAGTCAAACTTGAAGATTAACCTTACCTGAAAGGTGAGAAGTTGATCGTAATTATACGACAACCTGAGCCTGAAAGAGGTCACGATGAGGACGAATGGTTGACTTGTAGTATGCTGACTCACTCTGCTAGCTGAGGCGTAGTTTAAAGAACAAAGTAAAAAACAGTCCATGGCTGGTCCCTTACTCCTCCGCTCCGCCCCAAATACCCATCAGTTAGTTTAAAGAAAGAACGAGTCGCGAAGGGTTTGGGTGGGGGGGACGTGACCTCTTTCAGGCTCAGGTTGTCGTATAATTACGATCAACTTCTCACCTTTCAGGTAAGGTTAATCTTCAATTATACTTCCAACCTTCGCCTTCAGAGGCCACGATGAAGACGAATGGTTGACTTGTAGATGTTTAAAGAACAAGCGACGAGTTCAAAACGTCACAGGCAAAATAATTATTTTAGCATAGCTATAGAAAAGTACATCGTTCGTCTAATGGCCGGTTATAAAATCGGGCAAACATTTTTGAACCTTCCGACCATCCGGCTCGAGAAAATATTACATCTAAACTTTCTGCATTAAAAGAAGCCTTGGTTATGCTTGTATGACGGAAGCTGTGACCTTTGTACATAGACACGTCGACGCCTGCTAAGTGTAGGGTACATTTCCATCTACTTATAGTTAGCTTTGTCCTGCGCAAATACTCATGCAGACATTCAACTACACCTAACTTTTTACATTTCACATAAGCTGGTAAACAAAGAATAGGATTAAGTCGAATTCTACTTATTGTTTTCAATTTGCTGCGAATTTTAATTTCTCTGCCAATTCTAGTGGAGTTAATGCTACTTACGAAAATTTCTGACAAAGTTTGTACTTTTTGTCCAGTAGTAAGAGCTATCAATGAAGTTATCTTGTAAGAAAGATCTGAATAATCCAACTTCGAATTAACTGTCAAATTTTTTAAACAAATTAAAAACAAGTCACATCCCAAATAAATTCATATTGAGGTTTTGGTGGTTTACAATTGGATATTGCTTTAAGCAATCCAATAACTAATGGATGTGAACCAATTCAATTGTTATTCATAGGTTGTACAAATAATGATAATGCGGGCTGAGCAGTATTACAACAATTATACCCCAAACCTTCATATAGTATATACAGAAACGATAAAATAAATTCTATTGAGCATATTGTTGGGTTACAAATATTATTGTCTGAACAAAATCTAATCCACTTATCTAAATAAACGTTATCTTGCATCAAACTCGAGGAACTGCAGGATTTAGACCGAAAATTTGCAATATTTAATGGAAGTCTGGATTTTAGATTCGGTTGGCTGATAAGACTGCTACAAGGAGCTTCAGGCTCTTGTAAAGCGATGTGTAAAGTGGATACGGGTTGATCAAAGTTTTCTAAAGAATTTTGAAATCATACAAAAAGGTGGGAAAGCGTAAGCTAATTTAAAATCCCAGGCAACGGTAAATGCATCTACAGAAGTTGCACATAAAATTTTCACATTTCACATTTTGTTTTGTTTCTGCACTGGCAAATAAATCTAATTCAGGATTCCCAAAAGCCTTACATATTCGTGAAAACATTGTCACTCACAATTGTCATTTCCAATCACTGTCATCAATTTCTACTCTAGAGTAAAAATCTGCAATGTAGTTGGAACACTTGTAATATAGGACGCACATATAGATAAATGTCTGGCTTCACAAAATTGCCATATTCATCGGGCAATCTTATGCATTTCAACATTATGGCATCCACCATATCAATTTATATAAGCAATTGCTGTCGTATTATCGACTCTAGAAAGTATTCTTATATTCTCGTGAATAGCAAAAATTTGAAGAGGCTTTACTAGGGCTAATAGCTCTAACATATTTATGTGCAGCTCTGACTGCTGTAAATTCCAAACCCCCTGGTGATGACCGGTTATTACAATAGCAGCCCCAACCATTTAAATACACGTCTGTGAAAATCGTTTTGTGAAAGGTGTCGTCATATATTGATACAAAGGAAGAAATTATATTCTCCGCCCACCAATTTAAATCTGATTTACTAAATTCATCAAGAATCATATAGCTATCGTAATTACCATTACTTGAATGAAAATTATTTTGTATACTTATTGCCAAATATCTCAACAAGCCATACATCACTGCCGGACAGGCAGATACTAACGAGCCATGCAATTCAGACGCTTACATTCAGACGCTTACATTCAGACGCTTAATTCTGACCGAGGCTTTCAATTTAAATCTCGCCAAAGTTGTCCTAGTTTTCTGACGTTCTTCGTCCGTTAAAGTTATTCGCATCAATTTAGAATCAAAAATTAAACTTAAGAATGTCACCATTTGTGACGGAAATAAAACCGATTTCTTTCCTATCGTAAAACCCAGCTCATTGAGAGTGGAAATAGTGAAATTAAAATTTGGTAGACATTCTTGTCTTGTATTTCCGAACACTAAAAAATCATCCAAGTATCTCACTGATTCAAAATTCATTTTTCTCAATTTTTCAAAAACCGGCATTAAAATTATGGTAAAAATTAATGGGGCACAGCAAATTCCAAATGCTAAACAATTAAATTGGCAAAGGATATTGTTGTATTCGAATTTTAAGTATTTCCGATAACTTTCATGGCTCCGAATATGGAAATATGGCATCCTTAAGATCCAACGTGCCCATAAACATTCCCCTTTACAATAAATTGACGACCTTTCCTCCATCTTAAAGTGGGGACAATATAAGAATGTATTTAATTTTAAACATTCAGAATAAACCTTCGACTTCCTTCGCTCATTGGAATAGTAAAAATTGGCGAGATAAACTCACCTTTCTCATGGGGAGAAAATGAAATTGCCCCCATTTTTAGTGGTCTTTCAATTTCTTCATTAATAAAATTACTCTCAAATAATGAGAAAGAAGGATTATTTGATACATTTACTTGTACCGGAATGTTAACAAAGGGTAATTTAAAACCCTTAGCTTCAATAGCTTCAATAACAGATTCATCGTCAGTCAAATCAACCTTCTTCTCAATAAATTTAGTCTGCCGGCTAATAAATCTCTTACATTTGTTGTTGACTGCGGTTGGGATATCTGCCTCAGAATTGTGATCTGCCTCCTCTCGCACCCCGTTGTGGAGGAGGACGATTGAAGTTTAAACGTCTTTGAAATGAAAATGATGGGCCCCCAAAGCCATTGGAAAATGACATGTTGCTTGCCCTAACCTGGCTTATTGTTTAGCGAATGATTTTTGAGCTGGATTTTGCCAGCGATAAATCTTTCTCCAAATTACTCCCAAAAAGAAGTTCTGTTATTGCACTTGAATTGTTGCAAATTCCGACACAATCTTGTGTCAAATGGGGCTTAATTGATTGCCTTCTCTTAATGCTAATTTCATAGTGTGCAGTAGCGTTTTGAGTGGCACCATCCATCACATTGTGTAACAATAGCTTCAAAACATTGCCAGGAATTTTGTTTGCATTTTCAAACAGTATTTGAGCCGTTTTTGCTTGAGAAATCAGAGATCTACTAATAGATTGTTGGATGAACTGCTGCTCAGCATCTATTGTCTGAGATCGGCGCTTAAGGCCTTGCCAAATTTCAGGATTGACCTTTGGGGTTCCCAATTTGATTGTGTTTGAGGGAATTTTTTAAAGCCCACTTTTGCCTTTTCAATATTTTCTTTTGTGTGTTCTTTGCTCAACATTGACTTGAATGCAACGGCCACTTTTTATTAAAGGGGGGCCATATTCTTGTATACTGACATTGCTCAACAGTATTTCCATTAATAATAGAATTAATTTCAGGATTGTCAGAATTATCTGATTCAGAAAAGATATTCCAATCCTATTCCTCATAATTTTAAAAAACTATGCATGGTAGGTAATTTTCTTACCATGATTAGCCGAAGGAGAATCATCTCCAAGGACATTCGACATGAATGACGCCACAGGGTCGGAAAGACCATGAGTCGATGCGCTCTGCGAGTCGCCATCATCAGGGGTAGGTTGATTAACCATTTTCATAAAATCTTATAAAAGTTTTCTTTGGTTTTCTTTGGTTTTCAATCGCTTTCGGCAGCGCCGAAAGGGCCTCTATTTTATTACAATTTTCTTTGACCGTATGCGACAAGTCATTGAGGCTTTTATCCATAGTTTTGGATTTCTTTGGGCTTTGTAATTTGTTTTAGAAGTTCTAATAGAATAAAAATAAAACCAGAAAAGGAATGTACTGCGTACATTCTATTCTATTATGTACTGCGTACATTTTCAAATCATTATGCACTGCGTGCAATTTAAATTTTCTTTGACCGTCTGCGACAAGTCACTGAGGCATTTATTCATAGTTTTGGCTTTCTTTGAGCTTTGTTATTTATTTTAGAAGTTCTAATGGGATAGCAATAAAAACAAAAAATGAATGTACTGCGTACATCATATTTAATTATGTACTGCGTACATTTTCAATCCATTATATTGCACTGCGTGCAATTTACTTCACTGTGTTTCACACAGGATGTATAAATATATTAATTTGAAAAGTGAGGGTGGCCAATTTAAAGTAAAAATATTTTTTCTTACCGTTTTTTATAGGAATATTTTCTATTTCTTCTTTTTCGGTAGGGGTAGACATTTTGTGCACGAGGAGCTGGAGCGAGGTCTTCAGTCTAGCAGGCGTAAATCAACACTAATGGGTGATTGGGGCGGAGCGGAGGAGTAAGGGACCAGCCATGGACTGTTTTTTACTTTGTTCTTTAAACTACGCCTCAGCTAGCAGAGTGAGTCAGCATACTACAAGTCAACCATTCGTCTTCATCGTGACCTCTGAAGGCGAAGGTTGGAAGTATAATTGACTGCGTTTCTGTACAGAAATCACAAAATTTGAAATTAACCCAATTAAATATTTAACTGGAACATGTTTGTAAATATTTTCTACCAGGTATCCGCAACCATCTTTTTAATCGCGTATTCCATCTTCTGGATACGTATTCACTCGAAATTAAACGTATTCGAGACAGGAAACTATTGGATGTTAATTGTCTTTCTGACAAGCTGCATTGTTGTTATTGTGGTGTCCATCGTTATTCTAACACTTCACATAAAAGGATTTCCCGTCCATTGGCATCAATCGTTTGGGGTAATAAAAAATCTGACAAGAATTGGTTTATATAAATATATTAAAAGTATTCATTTCGAGTTCGCATCGTTAGCAACGTTCGCAAAAAAATAACGTTCGTAAAATGGCTTGAAAATCAATTTGCCAAATTGCGCATCTCCAGGGTTATTATTTAGTTCGCAAAATATTTTTCACAAATTTTTCAATTGGAAAAGTCCATAAATCTCCATGAGTTACCAAAGTTTTGCGATTCGAATTTTTTAAATTTCTCATTTGGTGATTTTCAGATGCAAAACTTCAGTAAGTATTGCAAATTATTTAACTTGTATTTCTCCCATAGCAAGATTCGAGACATTTGAACTAAATTTTCCGAACTTTGTTATTTGTGAAGTGTCTTCACTTCGTTGCTTTCTAAAAATTCGCAATTTCGAGAAAGTTATGTTGCGATGCAAACTCAAAATGATGTTGCGTCTTCCTATTTTTGGTTGGCCTAGGAGCACTGGAATCTTATAAGGATACCGGGGGATGTTGGGGTCACCGTAACTACCACTGCAGAAAAACTGCACCTGAGATACCCACACAATTCGGTGTATATATCTCTTCAGTTTGCGGTAACCATGGCAACGCTACTGGTTCGCGGTTACAGGTACGTTGACCTCATACATAAGTAATGTATGCCGACCCGTCATTGAGGGTTCGATAGGAACCATCTCCTGTGGTTTTTGATAAGAGATGGCGATATATAATTGACAAACAATCACATTGCCGCTGGAGGTAATACGCAATTCTACCAATTCTAACAACATCCTAGGGTGAGGAATTTTAAGTTTACACTCTTAAAAATCCAGTATTAAATTAATACCGGGCAGTATGTATTCACATATGACTCTCCCAACGTGATATTGATAAATAATACTATGAATTTAGTAATAACCTGGTATTAAGGTTTTACAATAATGGTATCAAATTTTTACGGACCGGTGTAATTTTAATATGCACCAAACGGTAGCAAGTGTAGCAACCTTAATACCGAGAAATCAATACCCGCGTGACTAACAGTGTATCTTGTATCGTAATATTTTTTTCATTATCACGGCGGTAACACGGGTAAGCTGCCATGGTACCCTTTCGAGATAAATTGTGCAATTATGTACATAAGGGAGCGTCCATAAATCACGTGATCGATTTTTGGACAATTTTGACCCCCTCCCCCCCCCCTTGGTGACCGGCTACCCCCCCCCCACCGGTCACGTGACAGGAGATGATGCTAAAATTAAATCATGTTGTCCGGAATAACAATATTATTCCAGTGTTTTTTAAATCGTTAATCAAACTAGAGCAACACACATGTGTAAATAACTATTTAATACGCCAGTCAGACATAAGAATTTTAAGTCGAAGCAAGTTTCTAAATATGCAAAATGAAAATCAAATTTACATAATGTGCTTGTGGTATGCCAAGAGAGTTTATATATAACTCTCATGACATTGATTGGCATATACAAAAGTTAAAAAAACTTTATTCATGTGACGTGACATCTGACCATCTACCCCCCCCCCCCAGTGATAATTGGTGACAAATTTCAGACCCCTTCCCCCCCTCTAATCGATCACGTGATTTATGGACGCTCCCTAACATATCGTGAAAAATTATTTTGGGTTGAGATAATCGATGAATTTATATCCATGATTGTCTTTCTCAATTTACAGATTTCTGAAAAGTGTAGGGCAGCAAGGAGGCTACAGACTGGAATTTACTTGATGTACATTTGGGCCATGGAATTATTTGCGGCATTATCAGTAGAATTTGTGTACGGATTGGGGAACCGCAATAATAAGAATGAACCAGAATATTCGTATACAGAGTAAACGATTTCAATAAAAAAAACTGTACACATGGCTTAATTAGTTAAAAAACCTAAAAAGTTTAATTATACGGATAAATAATAAAGAGACTAAAAATATTCAAATAAATATTCACTTTTACTTCAACCCAAATAGCCATCCGTGCAGATTTCACGACCATCTAATCAATCCAGATCAATATATTTTCTCCTTAAAATCTACATTCTCGCTGTGTTTATAACATTTAGTGGATTTCTTGACTTGACCGAATTTACATGAGTGAATCTTTAGAAGGAATTTTATCTCGCTGGGAAGAACACGTATTTCTCAGTGGCTTAAATAGGGGGTATGCGAGGTAACCCTAAAAACTTTGTGTGGAAAACGGAAAGTATCCACAATTTGGAAAAAAATGGGACAACAAATTGCTGGTACAAATTAAATTCTGCTTAATAAATTAATTTGAATCGCTCGAGTCCCAATTCATGTTAAAGTAAATTGCAGTGTTTCGGGTGCAAGTAACCACCTGCAAGAAATAACCGCAAGAAATTGGTTTCTTGCAGCTATTTTTACCCGCAAGAAATGCAAAGTGCAAGAAACTCCTTCCCGCCGCCATAGTTCTGTAGGCGTGTCGCTAGATGGCGCTGTGTTTCTTGCACTTTCTTGCATTTCTTGCACCTTGCATTTCTTGCATTTCTTGCTTTGCAGTGCAAAAAATGAGAAAACCCCGCAAGAAATGAAACACTGCTAAATTGTAACGAATCAGTTTTTAACACTCGAATGTTTTGTAAAATGCATTTCTGCTGTATAATAAGATAAAGGTTTTCCTTGAATGAATATCTTCTAGATAACTTTCACATTGTCTTAACATTTATTAGCAAAACAGTATAATATTAGAATTTGCCAAAATATTAAAATATTTTCGCAAATTCTGATCATCACACAAACTAGCAAACTGCCTCAAGAAACGTTGGTTGTATTGACTTGGACCACATAATTTTAAAATGTTAGCCAACTCGAGGGGTTACACTGCACACCATTGTTAGACGGATGCATGGCTGTGCAAAGTTGAACGACTGTTATTCTTTTGAGAAACAATTTTCCTGGATTAGTTAACCATTGCCGTTTAATGTATACACGGGAGAAATGATACGAAGGTTTGGTTCGTATGGATTTAAAAAATATAGATTTAACTACTTTGATGAAACTATTTGCAACTTTATGATTAATGTGTAAATCAATTGCGATAAATTCAATAGAGAAAATCTGAACCGTCGGGAGATATGTGTTTGCATAAACTACATAATATGTAGTTTATACATATTATGTATGAATATTTTAATGAAAAAGTTTATTAATTAAACATTATAGAACAAAGGTACATCCATACCTGAATGCCACATAAACTACATTTGTACGTATATCACTAAATGTGTCTTAACTTACCCTTAATTATTGGTCTGACCACATATGTATCATGTTACATTGTTTTTGACACAGCTTGTACATACTTTGTTGGATTTTCCATCATTAAAATTCTTACTTATCGACGTAAATATATGGGTAGAATATTTTGAAGTAAAACAATTCAAAATTTTATTATCGGGGCGACATTTCTGATTTTTTTTCAATTTTAAGCTCCTTACAAATTAAGATATTTTTTCCGGAAAACGTAAGATAAATTCAAGGCCCATTAAATTTACCCCAATATTTAGTTAGATATTTGTATACATTCTCGGCCAAAAGCCATGAAATTAAAATATCTCAATCTGGTCACTATTGTACAATACTCAATTAAATGGTTGACATCGAAACTTGTGGAAATAGATCCTTCCCTACTCCTGAAGTTGCTTCTGTATACGTAGGAGGTGGCAACACTATATCGCTTTCTGAATCCCGCTCGCACAAGTACAGCCGGATTGTGCTATTTTCTCCATTATTCGGGGAAACTTCAAAGATTGGCGAAGTTCCTGGTTCAAAGCCACCTATATTTACCTCGACGCCTCGAAGAACGACGACCGCATTAGTGCCGCCATTATCCCTTGGAATTAAGGCAATTACTGCCCGATGAGTTTGGCATAATGTTGAATTTGGCAAATTTGCAACTTCTTCATATCTCCTAGAAGGTGGATATTGAAATGGTGCATCAGGGAATGTTGAGACACCTGGCGGTGGTGCACATGGTATTGGCGCAGGTGGCAATGTGAGCGTAGGTGTCGAGCGAATTCTAGGTGGTTGGGCAGCAATTGGTGGTTCATAGTATCGAAGTGGGTTCAGGCTTTGTAGTAATGTAATAAATGGAGGTGAGTGTCGAAACCGTGGGGTATTTCGTCCGACATTTTGAAGAATGCTTGGAAGCTGGAGGTGAATTTCTTGGGTAGCTTTGTACATTTGGTGTAGTTCGAATGCTTTATAAATGGCTAAATGGACTAGCACCACCAACCAAAATACGTAGAGCGGTAGAGGTCTTGTCGGTAAGGAGGGGAAATGTCCGAGATAAAATATGACGGAGAGGGAGAATGTTGCGAACGATAGGAGTGAGAGTATACGTCGCGATATCTGGAAATTGAATAATAAAGAACAATTAGTTTAACGTTGATGAATTAATGGTTATTAACGTTATTTTATTTCGAAAAATCAGTTGGACCATCAACATACTTATTAAAGGTACGCGGACATATCTAAAATAAGCAGATTTTATAATGGGTGCATCTTTTCTTTCGGGCTTAACGTGAATTCACTTTAGTCACCGTAAAAAATGTAGATTCACAACTGAGTTCAGTGCCGGGTTGAACTTACTCACAACTCAATAAGCCGGCTTATCGAGTCGACGGCTTACTAGTGCTCAACTTAACTAGGCTTGACTAGCCTCGCTAATAAGCCGAGTCGAGTTGACGTGGCAACTCTATGCGTACGTATGATATTTTTGCAGCGTATTTAATGATATTTTTAAATGATTGCTTAAATTTCTAACTGTTCCCAATTTAAAAAAATCTACAAACCCACAAAATCTATCAAACTAACCTTCGTTTTGTCCCTTTGTCTCTCCAAGCGACTGGGCTCAGTACCAGCCATACGACAAAGCCGCCAAAGCGACAGAAGTAGTGTAGGCCAGGCTATGGTATAAATTACCATCGGGTGTAAAATCACGATATCGGTTACACTCGTCCCATTTATTTTGTCAGATTTATCCCACCAGCCTGAACTACCACCACCGACTGCTACAAGGAACAATTTTATTTATATGAATGTCACTGAAAAATATTTTATAAAATGAGATAAATAACTATAACGTCATCCTGACGCCTTGATGGACGCACATATGTAAAGATCTCGCTCATTTTTAATTTAACCAGCCGTAAGTAGACTTACTGCATTTTAGGTCGACAACCAAAATATTAAAGAATTGAATCAAACAGGACGAATACAATTTTACCTGTGGAATATCAAAAATTATTTTACAAAAGTATATAGTAAATCAGTAAATCGTATTGAGCGTAGTACAAGCTGAAAGTTCATACATACATATTCTTGTTATTTTTCTATGTATTTTAATTAAAGTACATATTTAGGTGCAGTTTGCAGTTGGAAAAATGGGGGCTTGAACTTAAACCCAACTAACATAACCCAACTAACCCAACATTATTTGTAACTAATATTTTAAAATTAAGTGCTAAGCATATGAAGTTTTCACAAATGTGTATTTAAGAAGATATAAACCTTGGAAAGAGTAATGGATATACTACATAATATAAACATACATAATATATCTCAACATTAAAATCTATGTAAAAATTCACTTACCCCGCCATAAGAATTGTGTATTGATTCATCAGACACTTTGAGAATGATGAAGAAATTTAATGTATGTACATATTGCCAAATGAGATATTTGTTGCTGTTGTGAAGAAGCTGTGTTGGTGAAAGTTAATATTGAGCAGATGTGGGAGACTTGCTTATATCGATTTTTTCTCACACATTTGTTCCATGTCAAGAAGTAGGGAGAAGGTTTTTGGTGCTCGTTTGGGATCTGCACGAGATGTGAAGTAAGAGTATGACCCAGTTTATGCTAATATAAATCATTAATTCTTACAAATCATTGATGTATAGTAAATTAAAATTAAAATTTTTAGTAAATATGTATGTGTATGGAGAAATGGATAAGTCTAGTTTCTTCTAGAAGGGCAGGAAAATATTTTTTTAATTGGACCCAATTATATTTACTAGGTACATAATGATGTACCTAGGTCCGTTACTCTACACTCTCGAAAAAATTGGGCACAACTGGTTGAGTAAATATGTATTGTGCAATGTTAAGTCAAAACCATGTTTATGGAGTGAGCTACTTTTAACGTTACAACGGTTTATTGTAACTTAGAAAAATAAGTGACATGTCATTATTGTCTGATTCTATTAGATATTCTTTATTCATTATTAAGTTTTACGGTTTCATGATAATAGCTAGAAATAATTGCAACTACTAATAACTTTTCTCGTGGTAAACATTGGTCAAGTTGAAATCCGGTTTTGCGTCTCTTGCGTTTAAACATTATTCACTTATGAGTTGTACTTTTATGTGTTTCATATTTATGCGTGTCGATGTACACGCGTATATGTGCATTTGTATGTCAAGTATATTCCTTCCTCCTTAAGCGCATTGATTTGTTGTGAACATTTTGTTTAAGCGTATCTTGTTTCGTATTTATTGAGTTGACGTTATCGGTTCCAGGTTGGAACAAAATTGTAAAAATTTTGAGATGCAAGTTTTAGTTGGATTCTAATAATTTGCTTGGATGTGGAAATCTGTAAAAATCAGAAGGAAACGAAACTCAAATACTCGTGTAAATAAATTCTCTGAATTGAATTTGTTGTCGAAATTGTCGAAGTGTTGTTGAAATTATGGAACTTTAAAAGGAAATTGCTGTGTAAATTTTTGTGCAAAAACCAGAGGTGACAAATTAAGTATATCAACCAGTAACTTGATGAAAATCAAGGTGTTAATAAGCTACATTGGTTTCTTACTTTCCCCATGGGGCTTTCATCCCAAACTTTTTGATTAATTTTTTACACACAATTTGTCTACAAATGACAAATTATGTCACAAATATAAGCAGTAATCAAAAATAAATCGAAGGAAATTGATGCCGTAATTCGTGCACAGGCCTCTTAGATTAGAGACTTTTCGCCGTCGCACCACGCTTAGCAACAGGTGGTCGGGGTTTTCCGCTCGAAATCCAGATATGTGTGTGCTTTGTTATTCCGGGTAACTTGTGCGAGACGGAAGTATGGGATTTGACTCGGATAAGTAACTTGAAAACGTGTCAGATTGTGTAGGAATTAGAGATCGATACCGAAGAGAATTTCGGGTTTTGCATATGAAAAATTTAGGCATACTCAATTATTGATCTCAATCGTTTATTTGTTTATTTATTATATATATAATCGTTTATTTATAATAGTTTTTCATTAGAGTGAGTTTTGACAATGAGTTGATAATTTGAATGAGTTAAAGTCGACAATTTTCTAACAAACAAAATTTTACCGTGGTTAATATGCTGTAACTGTCTTTGCTCTTTTGTAGAATCCAAAGCGCGTAAAAACGTTTGTTGTGTATGTTCATTAGACTGGTGAATGACAGAGAGATATCAGATAGTAACATATGTAGGATATGTGTGCTTGATATAAGTAAGATAAAGTTAGTTAGTGAAACCGTGGTGGTGGTGAAGTTGGAGAATGTAACGCGAATTGACACATAATTTGCATACATAAATAGAATATAGTACAGAGGGTGGTCCAAGAAGCTGTATAAATATTCCACAATTTTTCTAGCCCGCAGGCGGAACTCTATGGGTTCGAAACTTGCTAGATGTGATGGTCCTTGTTCTTATCTTTAAGAATATATCGCTTTTTACCCGATAAAAAAACTTCCACGAACTTTTCTACTGTGTTTTATTTTCGCTCTTTATTTGAAGCGTTCCAAAGTACGTGAAAATTCTTAAATCGTCAAATGTAAAAATTATTATTCCACGACGAAACATCCGATATAATCCAATCGATCAATGTCTGATAACCACCCAGGGATGTCTTGATTTTGTATGACTGCAGAACCAAAATTATCGTCGTCCGTTTTTCCGCACTGGTGAGATTTCTCCCAGTAAGCGGAAAAAAGTTTGATTTCTCACAAGGCGTCGACCTAGTTTAGGTCATTTTTGTTATGATATTCCCTAAATCAGTTTTAATGGTTCTCTGGATAGTTGATTTACTGTAATCTAACCGTTGGACCGTGCTGCATTGGGATAAGGGATCTTGGTGTTTGGTTAAGTCAGATAAACCAAATTTTCAGCTTTTTCGGGCGTTTAGCATTGGGTAGTTTCTCAGTGGTGACAAAGATATTAGATCTTTGGATTTTCCTTGCATATGTCTACCAGGTACCAGTCTATAAATTAATTGCAAATTCATTGCATGGAAACAAACTTTAAGCTCCTTTTATAACGTTTCCCGTGAAAAATCGACTGAAACAGCCCTTCACTGATACCTATCCTTCACCTGATCACCATGGGAGCACTTATGAAATTAGGTTTCCAAAAAAAATCACAAAACTATTTTCTGAGTTGCTGTCCACGATTTGGGCTTCAAATTGGAATTTTATTATCCCGGCTTTGAAGTGGGGTGGCTTAAACTTTTATACAGCTTCTTGGACCACCCTGTATATACTGTTAAAATTTGTAATAACAATAAGGATATATCCCTCCCCATACAGGAATTTGTACATGTATTTTTAATATTTAAGTACATTTAAATTTCATTCAACATTCGTGTAATTTGTCCGCAAGCGACTTACCTTACTTAGTATCTGAGATTAACATAACACTTATTGAACACTGGAATAAAATTTACATACGTTACTCATATAATTTAGTTATTCAATTTAGCTGATAATCTTAGTTACTTCTGTCATACTCCGTATCGCCTAGGTCTCCTTCTTGTTTCCACTACTGCATATATCCTCATAATGTGGAGGTACTGAAACCAACATAATCGGTACCCAAATTTTCAGTTCCCAACTTTCTAAGTTATTTAAAGACTTTGCAAATACTGCTCACTGTACTGTCACTGACATGTCTCCAAAGACATTTGCGATCCGCGACGTGACACTGCACGGGAATACGACGGGGGCCAGAGCGAAAGCAGAGAGGTCACGGATTTAATATTCTGGAAAATATTCCTGGCACCTCGGTGTCTATGTCGCCTCCAAGTCTTCCCGTCCCAAAAAATATTTCCTACTCTCCTTCCACATTTTGTAATTTCGAGTCGCACAATCCCTCCGGAAAGTCTATCTTGAACTGTAAAATCCATCCCATACTATTATTTACAAAAATATGTTGCTTGCAAAGTTGTATACACCGCTAGACTTCGAAATTCATATACATATCCCACTAATTTAGCACAATAAAACTTAACCTAAAACCAAACCTTCACATTTTGATGTGAAAGTTTTTTGGGGAATATGCTAAATTTAGAAAAATTTTGCTCTACAATCGTTAACTTTTTCGCACCTTTACCCAGTGTTACTTCCTTACTCTTGACTTTTATTTCGCAAAACTTGTACCCCAGCCAATAAAACCGCTGCTATGAATACGCCAGAACATCTAAAATTAAATTCTTACCCGCAAAAAACGCTGGACTTTTAACCCCATCTCCCCATCTTGGTTGAATGAAGTCAGCAAAACCTTATCACCCCCATTTCTGTTCTTTGAATCCAATAACTTTCCAGAAAATCCCAGGTTTTGTCCTTTCACCTTTTTCGGTTCCGATTTAGACTCGATCTCCAACTCCCTAAGAGTTTTCCCTCCCCGCGAAATTTTTTCTATGACCGCTACCCTACAAGATATTTCAACTTGGTCTAATTTTGCTGCAAATATTTGCAAATTCACATCATAATGTATCCCTTGGTCAAGGCAATTAAGCCTATAAAAGGTCTGTGGTGAGGTGAAAATTACACCAATTTCTGTAGTGGACCTGCTCCAATTAATGGTTTCAGCCTCATTTTGAGATGAGATTAAATTATGTCCGCAAAATCTGGGTAACGGCCTTCGATCAAGTTCAATATAGCCGCGATCCGTTCGGAGGTAGGACGCTAGTAGGTAGTCGATACGAAAAGGACCACATTCTAGGCACGACGGAAGTTGGGAAATGTGTTCTGGAAGTTGAATTTTGAACGGGAACGAGGCCGGGTTTTCTTCAAGAATGAATGGATGAAGTTCTTCAGGGTCGAGTTCTTTCTTTATTCCTGCAATTAATGTTTAATTAAAAATGAATACAAGTTAATTAATAGAAAAGCTAATTAAAAATTAAACACAAGTTAACTAATAAAAGTCTGATTAAAAATTAAACAAAAGTTACTTTATAAAAGTCTAATTAAACATTAAATGAGACGGATTTAAGAAAAATTTAGTGAATTAAAAATTGTTCCTTTCCCATAGCAATTAATATTCAGCAAGATATCTTGCCACGTCAACCCTACAAATACATATGTATTAATGCTTTAGAAATTTGCAAACAATTTTCCTACATCAAATTATGCCAACCTTACAAATTTTATTTTAATTTCATTTTTGAATTCCTGTGGAGTAGCAATAATGATAACCGGAATTGATTTTTGATTGTTTGACGAAAATCCGTCGTCGAGGTTACGGTTTTCATTATTGCCACTCTGCGATGACTTAGTTAGTGTGTCTGTCTGTCAATACGATACAAATTGCAAATCACTGTATAGGTTTTTTTTGCAACCACAACGGTACCTATAATTTGGTTCCACTCCGCCCCTTTCTCCAGAGGGAGGGCCAAAAGTCGCAAAAACGGCAAACGGGGACACGGATTTCCAGATGATGGAAAAATATATTGAAATTCTACTTTTACCAAAAAATTCCTGTTTTTTATCTACAACCTGAATCGTTTTTCGGAAATTCTAAAAAACAAATTCAGAAAATAACTTTGGATGACAATTTCAAATCTCACATCACCCCATAAATAGGACATCGGTGAAAAGCTCTCGGCAAGCGGATTAAGAAAATATATACTTTGTAGGGTATGGGACCACGCGCTGCAAACATAATAACAAAAGAATATTTTTGAGTTTTCCCATTCGTGCTTCCGTGTTAGCTCCCAATCCACTGTCGTGTTAAATTTTTGATAGCTCATATTTTCGTTGTTTGCCCTCCAGACTTGCAGGAGGTGGTCCCAGACCCCACAAAGTATTTATATTCTAAATCCCCTTGCTGATAGCTTTCCAACGATAATGCATTTATGGGGTGATGTGAGATTTGAAATTTTTTAAGTTATTTTTTGAACCTTTTTCGAGTTTCCAAAAACGCTGGATTCGGGTTGTAGAGAAAAAAATTAGGAATCTTTTGGCGAAAGTACACTCAACACAAGAATTTGTCAAATCAACACCGCCGTTCTCAATATAAGACTTAACCGCCTTGGTTACTATTGTTGGAATCGTTAAATGAGCTGGGAATCCTGCCGTTCGCAGATTCTCCCCACCACTACCCCTCTTTTGGGGGCTAGTGGTGGAATAAGAGTCTCTTTCAGTTGCTACCTCTCAACATGCACGCTTGGCACAGTTGGTAGCGCATCCACTCTTCACCCGTGGCGGCGTGGGTTCCATCCCCAGGCTACTCACATTTATTTTCGCTCAATTTTTTTGCACTTTTAACTTGCCAGGACTAGAGGTGAGGGCGACCCGAACCGTACCCGAAAATTTCCAAAACAAAAACCCGAACCAACCCGAAACCGCGGGTAATAAACCCGAAAATCATAAAAATGTAAAACCCGACCCGAACCCGAAACGGAAATTTTGTAATGACTATTGGAGTTTTACTCCTAAATTTAAAACCGTGTAATAATTAATAAAGCCTCAAACCTTTTATCAAAGAAGAAAAGTTAATAATTGCCAAAAAAAACCTGTTAAAAAGTTTGAGCTTACAATAAAGTAACTCTTAAACAAATAAATTAAATAATCAAATGCAGTTAAATAATGTGCAAATATATTTATGTACATACAGTATTTGCAATATAAGTACACAATATAAGCACAACATAAGGACATAAGTACAAACATAAGTGTATGCCTCCAAATTAAACAAATTTAGGGTTTTCGGGTTTTTAGGGCCCGAACCCGAAAACTCTTTTTCAAACCCGAACCGACCCGAAACCGTTTGTTAGGGTTTGTCAAAACCCGAACCGACCCGAAACCGTTATCGTTGAAACCCGCCCGACCCCGAACCCGAACGGGTTCGGGTTCGGGTCGGGTTTACAGGGTTGGACCTGAACCCGCGCTCACCTCTAGCCAGCACTCATAAAATAAGTCTGGGGACATGAGAAGAATGTTCCGACACTGGTTATATGCTCCTCCCTGTCTTCACATTTTATGTAATGAATACAGCGTGAAATAATATGTTACAATGTATAAAACAATTAATCATAGGATGCAAATATTCTATGCAAAACCACAGCTATACGTAAAATCATGCGCTGGAAATATTGCCACCAAATGCATTGCTGCTCTCAGGATTCCATTTATTGATTTTGCAAAGAAAATCCCATCACATCTTGATGTGACGCACTTCACCCTCGACCTCGACTTCTGCTGATGAGTAGCAAGCACCGCTGCGCAATATTTCGCTCCATATTTGCAGTTTTCTTTTACGTGTCAACCACAACACCAGTTTAACCATGGTGCAGTTTAAAATTTTAAGAATATGTTCGTTTGGGCTGCTTATATTTCTTCTTGCATCCTGTCAACCAAAAGGTTTGTTAATTCATTTTTAGTTCATTAGATAATAAGTGAGACCCATTAATATTCCATTGAATCAGGCAAACCTCGTCCCATCGTGGTACAGGAAGGGCCAGAAATTTCCACAAACCCTGGTCGCAACCAACTACCAACCACTAAGGTGGTTACTACATCTTCACAATCATCACCTACTTCTGGTGGTCGTGCTTAACCACTTTCTCCAACGAGAACTACTACTCCGTCACCACTTTCTCCAACGAGAACTGCTACTGCATCACCACTTTCTCCAACGAGAACTGCTACTCCGTCACCACTTTCTCCAACGAGAAGTACTACTCCGTCACCACTTGTTCCACCAGCTAATACTGATCTTGACACCTAGTTTGCATATGGTTTAATGTTTTAAAAAGTCTTTCGGGTTTTTTGTACAAAAATATTTTTTTTCAATCAAAATTTAAACTCTTGTTAAAATTATATTTTTATAATAATGGCGTTCAATTCGTGTGAACGAGTGCAAAATAATCAATTTAGCACATTTTATAAGTTTCCTTTGTCAAAAAAATTACTCCAGAAAATCTCGAAATTGAGCTGGTGTCACAGCATGAGTCTTAAAATGAATATGAGATGTTCTGCTGATATAATTAGCTCATAAAACTGTTAAAAACTTTAATCTTCTTGAAGGTGAAATGTAAATACAGTAGGAAATTTAAGTTGAAAAATATTTTTTGTGTGCATATTTTGGAGTTTTTTATGCACATATTGCATACATATTTTGAGGAATTTAAGTACATACATTTCCGTCCTATGTTCATAATATACCCGATAGCAACCAATTAAAATTTTCTATCAGTTTCCAATATTCGAGTTTTTGACAAAAAACACGAAAAATCCACTTTTTAACATTGGTCGATATAGAAAAAATTCCACAATTTTAGAAAAATCGAAAAAATAGAAAATGAGAAAATATGAGAAAATATCGAAAAAATCCACTTTTCACCATCGAGTTTTCCACTAAATACCAAAGAAATAGTCTTTTTTTAAAGACATTTTGGTGTCAAGGAAATTTATGTAGTATACACATTTGTGCATTTCGTCGTCAACGGAAAAATAAAATATTACAGAAATGTGTGTACTTCGTTTAAATTTTGCAAATAACAAGTCCATATTTCTGGCCAGTTGCATGAGGGGTCTTCACTTCAACTTTTAATGGCTGAATAAAACATGCAAGACTCGTAAACTATTGTCGCTTTAAATATTAAATACTTATTTTCTCCCTGGATGGTTTACAAAATATATATTTTCAAAAAATATGTTGCGACTTATTATAAATATTTTCATAATTACTACCCCCATTAAACGGCTAATTTATTTTATTATAACTTACCATAATAATGCCAATTGTCTAATTTTGTAAGGTCAATTTTACTCAGATTATACCCCGTTTTCTGAGTTATCTTTAAGTTTCCACAAATTTCCTTTTGTCCTCGACCATATGGCAGTGAAACTTCGGTCGAAATGAATTCGAACGTACTCCCAGAGCCACTCCCACCCAGAGAGGAGCATGGGAAACCATTCCGATGACCGGAATACACCGCTGCACACGCAGTCACACCACCGATTGCGCCAAACATTATGTTTCAAGGGTACACATTTAATAAATGTTTTTTTATTTAGTTTTTTAGAAAATTGGGATACACTCGGTGAGGAAATCTTATGTATGTTGTGGAGAAAGAGGAGATCAACCTTGTTGATGTGCGTTTACACATGTGAGCAATCGATATCAGTTTCTAAGGAATCCTATAGAAACTCCGGGTTTGTGTGCCTGTATGAATTGTATTGAACTGTATGAATTTACTCGTCAGCCTGGTGGGCCTTCAGTAAGATACCCGGGTATAAGCTTCTCACTTCTCAGGCAGAAGCGTGTATGTATGCAACCGTACAAGGATATTCGTATATACGCTTTATAAGCTACCGTAACGACGCACCACCACACGTCGGGTCACATACTATGGGTATGTCAATGCGTGTGGTTAATGGTGACATTCTTTTATCCTTGGGTGGGTTTAGATATGTATTTTTTAGTTATGAAACACATCTAAAAATTTTGGACATGGAAAATTTATAGAATTTCTTAACAATATGCACGTACATAAATATGGTGACATGTCGACTCAGCTTATCGGTTCATCCAGAAAGTACTGAGCAAGGGAATTCTCGGGAGGCTAAATGGCGGATCCCTCCATAAGCTATACCATGTAAAGTTTCGAAATTAATTGAACGGTCATTTCTTCATGGATTTTCAAAATGGCACCCGTTTTGGAAACCTTAGACCCTTGGGAAAAATATATATTTTCAGATTTTTCAAATGCGGCCCCACCCCCTCGGAATCAAGGTCACAAGGTAAAAAACAAGTGCCACTTCTCTATTGGATTTTGAAATTCTACGACGGGATTCGACGGACCTGGGCGTAATTATTTGCGGCAGTAGTCCAGTTATCATATTGACTAATAGACGACACCCACTACTTTGGAGTCATTGTGGGGGTGGTCAAATGTCAAATCAGCAAACTTAATATAGCAAAAAATTTTCCCCCACCGTAGTTTCCGAAATTCAACGTCTCCAATACACGTAATCTTACCAAGGCCCCTTGTGTCAACGACGTTCCATCGCCGTACACCCCATGGGGGTGTGGTTATCGGCGCTTCTGCCAATACCTTCCGAATGCACGCGATGCGACACATAATTTTTCTCAGGCCGGTAAGGAGATTCCAGTGGCATATTTCAAATTTTAATATGCCACACCCCCTGTGGGTGTGGCTATCGGTATCCAGTGAATCTACCTAAACCTGGTCATGTGACATATCAATTTTCTCAGCTCGCCAAGGAGATTTAAGTGACGTAGTTAAAATTTAAAAAGCCACACCCCCTGTTGGTGTGGTATTTATTATTCGGTGAATCTACTTAAATCTGGTCATGCGACGTATCAATTTTCTTGGGACCTTAAGCAGAGTACAGTGGTGTAGTTTACTCAAATACTGTTTAGCCCATAGTGATGTAAAATAAATCTTATAGGTTTCCCAGCAGATTCTGCATCTATTCATGGCTACACTGACATGGTACACAATTTTTACTTATTTACGTATGTACATCTGTATAAAAACGTTATGCAAATAAATGTTTGTAAACCTTTTATAAATTGCGGGAATTTGAAAAATTAGCAAAGTTTCGCAGTTTATCTTGAAATAGGAAACATTTCTGTATTAAGTTTTCGTGTACTTGTGTTCATTGAAAATTGTCCAAAAATAATTTTTTATAAAAACAAGTCAGTATTGTGATCGTGAGTGATTTGAGTATTACCATTTTTTACACAATCAACTTATTAACTCAAAATTATCGTTGTAATCATACTTACTTTTCATTTATTTCTTATCGCAAAAATGTAGATTAGAAAATCGATTCATTTAAGAAGATTTGTATATATGCACCAGAACAAGCTTGTTACAGTTTCACGATAAAAATAAAATCCACCAAATGCAACATTTTGCTGAACAAGGTTTAATTAATTCATTATTTTCCAAGTGATAAATTATTTAATTCTGAAATATGTTGTACAAACACCAAAAATTTGCGCAACACTTGCAAAAATTTATAACTTGGTATGCGGCCGTTTCGCCATCCATTCCTTGATCCCTGGAGTCCTCATGACATTGTCGTGCAAGGCCTTGAGGGCTGGATATTCGTCAATAAACCTTACCCCGTGATTTAGTTCCCCACTGTTGAGCACATGTGCCAGATAAATGTCTGCCCAGGTCAACTTATTTCCCACCAGGAAACGGCCCCCGTTGTCATTCACGATTTTCTCAAACTTGTCCATGTACTGTTCCTTGCATTTGACCTTCTGCTCCTGCTCCAGCCCCTTCCGTTTGACTTCATCCTGCTCCATCAGGATGGGAAGCCAAGCTGCGTAATTATTCACGTCATCACTTTGAACCTCTGATTATATACATACATTGTGAAGCTATTTTAAATAAATTCGAAATAAAATGTTTCGCAAGTTGTGGACAATTTTAAAGTAAAGTTTTATAAAAATATTGGAAAAATTTAGTTATAGCAACTGTTAGTGGATAAGGAAAAGGAAAGATTCGTAGGTAACTTCAGTTTGGGGTTTGGTGCTCAATGCATACATTTTCGTTGCATCTTCCCTTCTTAAATTAGTGACAATGTAGATATTTATTTAGGTGGAATCGCTTAATTATTATGGGGAAGGAAATATGTATGTATATTATGTATTGTGGGCAAAAAGTATCTAGGGTAAAACACACACTCAAAAAGTTACTAACAAAATTAAAAAGTTTGTAAAATTTTAATTTCGAAAAAAATACTCGGCTCCGAAGCTTGTTGATATTTTAGAGTAAGGATGTGTTAATGAAAAGCGATATTATTTTAACCACGGAAATTAATAACGTATGCAACAATTTTTTTACATAATTCGAAAATTGTGTCATGTTACTTATGTATCTGCATGAATTTGGCAACAAGACAGAATTTTGAGGCAAATTTGTTAATGTACAATTGCTCCTTACGTTTTATATAGTCGATCAACGTATCCACGTACTCGTCACATAGAGCCGCTTCAAAGTCGTTGGATCCCGCAAGGTCAAATTTTTTGGCAAAGTAGCGACTAATTGTAAGCGACTGGTTTAATTTTTTTCCCTCAAACTCCATCAGTGGAATTGTTCCCCATGTCGTTTCTGTAAGGTGGAAAATTAACTTAAGTAATCTGGCAAGTTTTATCATGTGGTACTAAACCTCGGTAATAAAGCTTGACAATAGCGGTCATGAATTTTAAAAAAATTAACAAATGTTAATCCAAATCAAATTTATTACCGAGAGGTAATTAGATACTTGAGTTTAACAGATTGCATATTAAAAGTATTAATTTACACTCTGAATTTAAGACATACGTGTTCCCATTATTTCATTTAATGATGATTGAATAAATTATTCATTCAATATTCAAAAATTGAATAAAGATTTTACTCTGATTTACGAATAAATGATTGTTAAATGATTACCCATTCCAATCGTGTGAATGAATATTTTTTCATCATTCTTTTTTTACTCAATGCTTAATACATAGGGAATTTTGAATAAAATTAATAATGTAGGAATGGTCAATAATGAATAAATGTGGAATAATTTACGAATATTTTTTTATCAAATATGAACGAATGAATTAGGAATGAATATTTTTTAAAGGCTTTGAATGAACGAACTTTGAATAAATAAATATTTTTTGAACATTCATGATTTAAGAGTGTATACATATATGTATGTACATACAATATACCGTGACCAAATCCTTCCACGGTAACAAAAACGTTACTGGTATTATTGTTTCCAAAGTAAAATAATACTGATTGTTCCTTACTTTCCTTAATTTCCTTGGGCAACTTGGGTGGGAGTGGGAACATGGGGGCACGAATGTCCTCAAATTGGACGCCACCGTACGACAGAATCATCCTAATCGGCTCTGCACCACCCCGAATGTCGTAATAATACAGTTTGTAAGCCATTTTAGAAAATGTCAGCCAGTGAACCAAAGGTGGACGAGGAATAAATACTGAATGAAATGCTGGACAGCTGCTTATTTATCTACCAATTCTCCTGGCTACCACGCAGTGGCGAAGTTAGTGGCAAGCGTTGCAGAAGATCATTAAAAAATCTAACCTAGTTCAAATTATGCTAAGAAATTCTGCCAAATTTTATTTCATAATTTTCAGTTTAAAATGCTGAGATGGGAGTCACCACTATGACATTAGCTAATTATTTTTCTACAATCTTTGCGCGCATCTCCGAACTTTATCAATAGTTTTAAATATTTTAAATGTAGCAAATTGAACTCGATAAGACGAGGAAAGGACACAAATCTTATCAGGATGATCCTGACGTTGATTATAGTTGGTTTAAAAATGATAAATTTACTTTGGTCATTTAACCCAATTAGTCGTAAAGCAACTGCAAAAAACGGAAACTCAATGCAATGACGCTAGGGGCCTCGCTCCGATTTTGAAGAAACAATGATAATTAGATAAATAATTAAACACGTATTTGAGGATTTTTCATAGTGCTCAGTTTAAACGAAATTATGAGAGAATCTATGCGTGAGAATTTCCATGTTTGCCGTGATATTTTTCTCTCCCGCGAGAAAAATACACATTCTCGCTTATGTAATCCATCATAATTTCGCTTGAACTTAAAATGCATGGTGTTTTTTCATGTCATCTAACATGAAGTGCTTTTTTCGATTTTGACCTGACAAATTTCAAATTGTTCACACAAGGAAATACGCCATATTTTTCCATTTTCCTCAAGCACGCATTTTCACCATGTTTTTACGTGGCGGAATTTTTGAAAAAATTTTCATCAAAAATAATTCATTTTCAACATGTACATAAATTTCGTAATTTTTATCCGATTTCAAGAATGGAAGAACGTTTTTGCACAGAATTACATTAATTAATGCTAAATCTGTACTTACCAAAATTTTAATTTTTCATAATTTATTGTTTGCTACTTTAAAAGTTTTTAGAAAAATATTTCTACACTTTTATGGAAGTAGTTTTGAGTTCTTGGAAGCATCATGGAAGTTATATGGAATCATTTTTATGTTCTTTCGGGTTTAAAGTACAGAGGATCACAGATCGTATTTGGACAGGTTTTAAAATTGACCTCAAACCTTCAGTCGGCGTCGATGAATTTGTTTCGATTGTTCAATGCGTTCCTCAGACCTTTGGCTAGCCAGCCTATATCGCTGTTTTCCCAAATTCATTACTTTTCTTATGTTTTGGAGGGCAATCTTCTTCAACTCGTCTTGAAGATTTTTCCGAAATACCAAAAAAATCTCGAGCTCGACCGAGATGAATCTATGGTTTTAGTAGTCTAAACCCACTAAAAATCTAAGGGAGTGGCATCAGGACTTGTCAGTCACAGGTATCTGAGAATTAGGGATGATTGAAATCTCTAGCTTTTGTTTTAATGCGGCTGCATACTGGGTCGTTTTCCCAGAGATTTTCGTGCTGAAGTTTGTTTTCGCGTGATCTTCGGCCCTTTCTTGACCTCTTCTTGAAGTTTATTATTGATGGCGCAATTCACATGCAGTTGACATATTTTAACAACTTTTCCAATTTGAGTTTGGGTCAGAAGATTTTCTCTTGCTACTTTATTGGGGATGCCAGTCACGCTAATTAGATATTGATCCAACTAATGCGGAATTAAGTTCACGATATGTTGAAGAACTAGCAACACTGCATCCGGATAACTTCAACTTCTCTACAATTTTCCTTCGTGACAATTTTCCTTCGTGACAATTTTCCTTCGTGACAATTTTCCTTCGTGACAATTTTCCTTGAAGGAGATGCTTGACTTTCCATGTCGATTTCTTCGGCATTTGTTTTTGATTCTTCGATTTTTGTCAACCAAACGTCAAATTCACCCCAAACAACTACTTTTTAAGAGTAAAATTGCCGAAGAACAAAATACCTTATCCGCCTATGAGTTTGGTCAGTTTTTGTCACTGTGCAAATAGGATCTGTGCCCCTGTAGCATAAAAACTGCAAAATTTATTACGTTATTAGAAATCCTAATTTTGACTGAAAATGTATTAAAAATTCAGAAAACACGCTCCTTTATGAAAAGGCTAAAGAACGCTAGTTTAAGTGTGCGAGCAAATTTAAAACCGGAAAAAACGATTCATGACCACTTATTTATGACGGACTCTGTAAGCGAGAATCTGTATTTTTGCCCCTCCCAAGAAAAAATTCGGGATAAAAACGGAAATTCTCGCTCATGGATTCCGTCAGTTCAGCATTATGAAAAATCCTGAAACACGTGCTTAATTATTTACCCAGGCTTTCCGAATTAGCAAGGTTTCGTCAAAATTGGAGCGAGACCGCTTGAATCTTCCTATTGTGAGTGTAATCTGACAGTTCTACATTCAATTGTTGAAATCGTGATATTATTGAAACGATATTTTAATTAAGCCCTTGTCGTTTAACCAGACAGCACACAATTACCTTGCACTGAATCAAATTATGGTTGCGAAAAAACCACAAAATTTTCCTATTTTTATAAGTCTCGCCAAATCAGTCAGGGACAGGGGCCCCCAACGAACCTGTGCCTACCGGCCCCAAATTTATAGTTCCGCTAGTGACACGGAGACCCCGAGAAGGGCCAATATTACGAGAAAGGTACACACGCTCGTGAAGCCGAGGGGGGTGGAACGTGCTACGAATATCGATGGATGGGAACATTCAAACAATCTTTTATATATACTTGGCAGCCGTGTTAATCTCAGTTACTGAAATGTTAGCGGTAGAAATTAAAATCTATAGTAGTGTATGGCATGGATTACTTGTTGTGAAATGGTGACTAATTGCAACATGGACTTACTTGATGCTGCAGTGGGTGGCTAGACGAAGGCAGAAAACTACAAGGATAGACAAATAATTGGTTTATAGTCATTGCAAGTAAGGTACGTCCACTCTTAAGTTAGACTGCAGAAGTTGAAGCTATGCTGCGCATTTAGTAGGGATTTACGAAGTTTAGTAGAAATCGCTGTGAAAGTGAAAACCTGGATCGAGTGAATCGAGTTTTTCACAACCACAAAATCCTCGCTTGTTTTCACCCGAACAAGACATGGCACTAGTGCTTCAAAACGGAAACACGTCACAAAACGACAATGTGTCTCTATATTTCGACGTATTAGAATGACAAAAGTGAAATTAAAAATACTTGAGGCCAGTAATAGCCACCCCCAAAAAAGGCAGAAGCTATCGAGTGTGTAAACTGAGGATTGCAGAAAAAATCAAACCAAGTCTCGGAACAACGTTCAGGTCAAAAAAAGCAGAGTGCAAAAAAGTTGCTCAAAAAGTGTCGAAAAACTTCATGAAAAATTATCATCATTTGTGACGAGACTTACGTCGATCCAGATCCCTTAAAGAGTTCTAAAAGCACATTTTTTCATTCAGGTAACCAGTGGGTGTCGATTATCAACAGAAGTTGTACATGCGATCTAAATTCCCTGTAAAATTCCAAGCGCGGCTTACATTGAGACAAATGGTCTTCAAATGGAAAACCCTCCAAACGTCTCTATTAGCGAGAAATCGAAAAGATTTGGGCCTTGTGGAACATGAGGTGCTCTAACATTCGCTCCAAGGCCAAAAATCTGGAAAAATTCGAACGTTAAAGGCGAAGAATCAGCAAGGGCATTTCGAAATGCGAGTGAAAACCGCAAATTTGAGGATTGGTAGCCAGGAATGATTTAAATTCTTCGAAACACAAACTGACATGTCTGGTTTGTAGCTACAATTTACGAAAGACTTTATAAATATCTACCAAGCAGGTGGAAATAAACAGGTCACTGAGCGCGGTTCCCTTTCAGAGAAAATAGATCATACTTTAGATTAATAAATTTTAAAAAATACACTTCTATTGTTAATAATCTTATTGTTCCCCCACTTTTATCATGTTCTCTGCATGTGTAAAATATATCAAGATTGCTTCATAATAAAACTTTATGAATATACTTAACCTCTTAACGACGAAGTACACACATTTGTGTACCATTTTATTTACCGCTTACGACGAAATGCACAAATGTGTGTATGTTTTAAATTCCCCTGACACCAAAATTTCTTTAAAAAATAGTATTTCTACGGTATTTTGTGGAAAATTCGATGGCACACTGAAAATAATTTTGAAACAAATCGTCACCCGCGGAGGTACTATACTGCTCTATTTTTGGGTAACGATTTACGAGACGTTTTATCACCTGAAGGAGACAAGCCAAAAACTCGTGTATCAAACACACGTGACGTCGTAATTAAAAAAATTGAACATTTTTATCTGACTTATCTCCCCCTGGTGATAAAACGTCTCCTAAATCGTTACCCAAAAATAGAGCAGTATAGTACCTGCGTCGGGTGACGATTTGTCTCCAAATTATTTAGAGTGTAAAACGTGGATTTTGCCACATTTTTCTTCTTAAATTTCGAATTTTCCCTATACCGAGTGCTTTCTCTTTTTAGCTTTGACGTAATCGGTGGTAACTGTGACCTTATTAATATCCTACACATTCACACAGGAAGAGAGACAGACCGACATACATAACACTTTTATATGTAGGGTGTTTAAAAGATATATGGAAAGACATACAGAAATGATTGAGTATGTGCATAATGTTTTTTACCCGACGGCGTTGTTTTTCCGAGGGAAAATGTCCAAAATTTGAAATTTCTAAGCTCTGAATAAAAGTAACAACAAATTTTTGCAATTTTTTGGGTATTCACATTTTTGATAATTATTACTACGTCGATAATAATTCCTGCATCGTCGCCTTGATCTTTTGATTGTATGAAATAATGCGCCACAAATTATTTAATAGTAAATCACGTGACAAATTAGATAATCTACAATGGATGCGCGATGTTTTACCTTGATGCCCCCAGGAGATGTGGAGATTTTGCTAGACGATATCACAAATGGATATGACGACGATTAGCTATTAGCGGATCATGCTCAGAATATTAGAAATCATCCTGGCGAAAATCCAACTGTCTTTGTATGGTAGCTTATGGTATGAATGAGATACGGAAGATATAGGGTTGATGTTTGTCGTGAAATGACATATTTACATTAATAGTTTCATCTCTTTCACAAGTGTTTATTTTCGCATAAATGATTGTCACACAAATTTTAATAATCTCCCGTAATTATGGAAAAACTAGAGAATTTGTAAATATCCGTAAGTATTAATATGGGCAGTCCGCGTTACAGTCTGCTGCCCCCCTGCAGAGGACGCATTGCTTCTTGCTATCATCAAAGCGGGTTCCCTCCTCGCAACACAGCGGAACAGGATTAGCCCTCCAAATGTTGTTGTCAATGTCAGGTTCCGTGTAATGGAATAGTCTCGCATTTTTCGAGTCTCCCTCGACCTTACAAATTTCTTTACACGTTTCACCATTCGCCCTGTAACCGGCTGCCTCGTCGGGTTTCAGACTTTTCCATGGAGCGCAGTGACCCCCCACGTCGGTTTCGTTTCCAAGCTTCCAGAATAACTTTTTGTCCAGAAAGATGCTTCCGTCGGCTTCTTCCTCTACGTCACAATCACCCTTGGTCCACAAATCGGTTGTTTTGTTGCAGTAGATAAACCAGTCACAGTCACCGCATTGCTTGCAGTCCTCAATCCAGTTACATTTATCGCCTACAGTCACAGTTTTGTTTTCCACTGTGGAAATTTTAATGAAACAAATTTTAGGGAATTTTAAAATCAAAAAAAAATTACTAACATTGCTGGATATTCTAAATGCGCCAGAGTTAAACGCCGCTATAAACTTACGTTCTGAAACGATAGTGCATTTTTTCTCGTCAGCTGCAAAGACGGCTTTTAAAACGTCAAAATAATTTTATTAGTCTACTATTATTCATGTATATGGAAATTATATATTTTTGTTAAAATTTACCCCCAACGACGACAAGGGCAGCGACAAATGCAATCTTCCACATTTTTGGATGGTTTGTGTATTTCTGCTTTTCAAGGTGGGGTGTTGTTCAACTTGGCTCGGACGATCTCGACTGCTTAGTGAAGGTCCAATTCCGCCTTACGGGGTTTAAATAGGAAAAAACTCCAGTAAAAATCTCTCTTGAATAAATACCTATACTTTTCGGTTTATTAGGGAGATTACGGTAATTAATTTCGCCCACATTCCCTGGATTACGTCCCACGTAACTAATTCTTATTTGGAAATAGCAAATCCCATTTATTTATTATATTGCTCGAGATTAGCGGCTTAGCAGATTTTACGACGAATTTTAAAACAATTTTTTTACACTTACATAAATAATTGCAAATTACCGCTAATGTATATACATCACCGGATTATAATAAATTAGGTATCATAAATTAGTTATCATAAATTGGTCATCATATAACGTAACTTAATCCATTTTACGCAAGTATGTTCACATTAGTATTGCCCATACGAAAGATATACCTTAAAATAACACACACGCTTGTTTTTGTCTGTAAGTCAGGGTCAACTTTAATCCAGACCAATAAATTACAGAACTTACATAGATACATATGCTTTGGTAAATCCAAGGATTACCGGAGCGAGCCCCTGGTTATTCTTCTGTTTGCAACACCATTGCTCAAAATAATATTAGCGTCCACTTGAGATGATCGCATGCAAATGTAACTCGTGAAATAACTTGGTCAAAGTGACGTGCAAAAAATATAAGTTAATACTTTAAGATTTGTTTTATTGTGATTAATTTATGGACAGTGCTGTTTAGTGAGACCTATTTAAGGCAACTGGGCCACAGGAGTTGGAACAGAAGCAGTTTTCCTTTCACAGATCACCAACTTGATAGAAAATTGAACAGAAAAATGCTGAAATTTTTCGCACTTTTGTCCTTCGCGGTTGTCGTGGCTGCCAGGGAGGGTAAGGGAATTATGCAAAGTCTATTTACTGAGTTATTATTTTAAATAAATGGTAAATTTTTCAGGCAACTTTACCAATAATGGGAAAGAGGTGGATACCAAGTCCGGCAAACTAATCGACTGGTATACTTGTGAGGCGCAGGGCAACTATCCCGACCCCACGACGTGCGATCACTACATAGCCTGCACCACAGCCCTCCTTGCTTACCAAATGCCTTGCCAAATGGGACAAAGTGGGCGACTCTGGTAGTAAAAAAAATATAATAATAAATTTGAATATTTGTCACGAACAGCAAATTATTCTCAAAGGTATGTCCGTGACTCTGGCCCTGTCGAAGCAGACTCTTATTGCGACTACCCGAAAAATGTTGACTGCGACCTTGCGCCTACTGACGCAACAACTCCACCACCTGCTATTACTGACCCAGTCACCACCACCACTACTACCTCGGCCCCACCCACGACACCGGGTGGTTTGCTCTCATGCGGACTAGTCAAGCCAGGTGAGCTACGTGAATTGGTGTTTGTACCCTAAATTGCATAAGAAAGGTTAACAAGGCCTCGTAATTTCCAGGTGGGATCGTGACGGTGACCGAGGGCGATGACTGTAACCCTATCGAGGACTGTAAACAGTGCGGCGACTGTGGTCACTATCTCGTCTGTCTTGTCGACAAGTGGGAGAAGATAGGTTGTGATGAAAACGAGGTCAATGGGACCATCAAATTGGATGAAAAACTTTTCTGGAGACCTTCCCACAGCGCGGCCGATATTGGTGGAGTTTGCAGCCCTTGGGCCCGCCTGAGCAACGAAACTAGGGAGACTTACAGGGAGGATCCTAATTGCAAAGAAATCTGTAAAGTGAAAGCGGATCCTGAGGGAAATGTTCGAAAATACTTGTATACTGACCCAAACTTGGACCGGGGAACGTGGAAGGCACCGGCCTTCGAGTTTTGTTGTGAAGAAGGCACCCAGTTTGATGAAACGAGGGAACAATGTGTCCTCTGTACGACGGGTAACGACTGCACGGTACCTTGTCCTTAACCATCTGGTACATAATTATGTCATAATTTTCTGTCATTGATAAAATTTCTGGAGATGAAATAAAGTAAAAACTTCCCTTCCTTATCTGATTTCTGTTTTTTTCCTGTGTCAATTTTTGGATGAACGTTAAATTTATAAACTACGAGTTTTATGTTTGCATATTCCATGCTCGTTTTTAATATTGGGAATTAATTAAGAGACGTATGCCGGAAGATTTACGGAAAGGAAGGAATTACAATTATTCTTTGTTGGGTTGAAGATTGAAGGACTGTAATGGGTTTAATAAATATAAATATATTTACAGGAAACAGATAAATGAGATTCATTTCGTGTTTGTAAGTCATTAGATATGCGATTAATTGAATGCAGGCTAATTGTGGTTTGAATGTAATATTCTGCCGATAATAATAATGTGGTTTTACAACGTGTCCAACTCAAACACTGTCCATAACCATAATCATAATCATAATCAAAATTCTTATCCCTTCCATGATTGGTGGAGCCAGAAAGCGAGCGACTAATCAGAATGCAGAAATGTCACAGAAAATTTAACGGGACAGACTTTGCGAAATTATAATGTAGATAGCAAATAGACTTTACTTATGTACGATGTGCTTAATTTTGTTATCTTGGTACCACGGTTTATTCTGCATGGTAGTGATTAATGTTCCCAAACGAAAATATAATTTTTTCTTTGTCGTTCAACAATATTTCCAAACTTTTAATATATCGGTTTTCATAAGTTTTGCATAGGTGCTGGTATAATTAGTATCAAAATACAAATATGGAATTATGAAATTTATTTATGTATCTTACGATTAGTCATAACGATACTAAAATAATAGAACAGGATATTTTTCGTAGATTACTGGATTACGGATTACATTCAAAGTAATCGGATTAAAATAATCCTGGGATTTCCTATCCCTGTACAGACAAGCATACGTAAGTTAACATCAAGTAAACATTCTGAAGAAAAATAACTAAAATTTGCTCAAGGTTGAGTAAAAAGGAGGATGACACAACAATTGGACACAATTTATCCAACCGTTGTGAAAAATTTGCCCAATCTTGTGTGAAATTGGCCAATGGTTGTAGAAAATTTACCAAATTGTTGTCATCCTCCTTTTTACTCAACATTAGGCAAATTTTAGTTATTTTTATTCCGAGTGAATATTCATTACACTCAAATTTTTATCTTTCACTATTTCTTCAAACACATACAATCTAGAAACCTGGTAACCAATCCTAAGTTCTTACCAGGTGGACTATCAATGTATGTAACTCGACCGCATGGTAATTAACTAATTATTGAGTGGTGGTCATTTCGTTACCAAACCGGTAATAACCCCGATCGCGAAATTTGAAAATATTACCAGTTTGTAACTAATTTTCGACCACTCTATAATAAATAAATTGCCGTGCGGTAGAGTCACAAAGATACTGCACCTGGTAATAACTTAGTTACCGGGTTTCTTAGAGTGTACACACATAAACATTTTTAAGGCCGTGAAATCGATGGAAATTTTACATTGTCAAAATTGCGTTGCTACCAAAGCCTTTTTACCAATTGCGTTATTTCTTTTTCGTTTCACAACGATGATTTTTCTTCAAATGTAGATGGAGCTCCGTCTTTCTTGCAAATTCCTTCCCACGCCCGGCCTTGTGGCAAATTACAGGGTCAGCGTGAACTATTTGAGTATGGCGTTGTAACGAAAGACTGGATGGGAAGCCTTTGTCGCACTGGGGGCATGCGTAGTCACGACTGGTTTCCTTAGATCCCGGGGGGTGCTTCTTTTTCACGTGCTTTTCCAAATATTTGTCCAGTTTAAATATTTTAGGACATTTCGGGCAAGGAAAGTTTCGCTGTTTTGTGTGCCAGTTGAAGATGTGATCGTCCAGATATCGCTGGTTGGTTAATGATGCTCCGCAAATCTGCACATTTTTTCGATCAGATTGGGAATGAAATTGAATGAAATAAAATATTTAGGACTTTAATTACTTGGCAGATCAATTTTTCCTCGGTGTGAATCCGCTTGTGACGTCGTAATCCGCCCGGAGAGGAAAATGTTGCTGGACTAAATTAACGGAAAATTTATATTAGTTTCTGGTAAAAATGAATGGTAAAAAGTTAACTGGAAACCAGGGCTTTCTAATTAATTAGTCAGTCTAATTAATTATCTAATTAAATTGCATGTTTAAACTAATTATTAATTACTAATCAATAATCAATCTTAACTAGTACCACCGAAGCTAATTTTAATTTGTAGTTAATTAGAAAATCACTAGAAATCAGCAACTCATTGGTCAATATTATAATTAATTAGCTAATTAATTGGCTTAATTAGCAACCTTAGTTTAACCTAAAAATATTTATTTTTATTTGTATTAGCACATGCTCCAATTGGCTGATTGTTCTCGGATTGAAAATTTAAAAAAAGGATTACACCTTAGCAATAATTAATTCAGACAACACGACCACTGCCATAAAAATTTTGAATTGTTGATCGCCTTCCTGCAAAAAATTCGGCCGGTTATGGCTCAGGTTGAATGCCACATTTGAGGACTCTGCTGAACGGCAGAATATGATGGCAGGAACTATTCTTTCCGCAAGGCTTGAAAACAAATTTGTAAGTGTTTACATGAAAAGGGGAAAAGTGAGAAAAAGTCTTAGAATTGTCTGAAACGTGTAAAAATGCAATTTTTTTCCCCTTATGTCATGCAACTTGGAATTATTTTTCATTTTCGTCAACCTTGATTTTGCCCAACTTTGCATGATGATTTCCTAAAATGGCCACCCCTTAGAAAGCCAAACGTTGCGTCATTACGCACACACATATGGGTAGTATAGGTCATTGGCTGCTACTTTTTCGATTGAAAAATTTGTCAGCCATTTGAAATTGTCGAAATTGTCGTTTTGGACAAAAATCCCGTTTCTTCGCCACGTTTTATTTTTTTCCCGTGAGAATTATAGGAGCTAGGGGCATGTATGGTAGCGTTTTTTAATCAGTATTAAATTCTCTTCAAAATGGGTGTGGTTTTGGGGGGAATTTGAGACTTTTTTGAAATTTCATAAAAACCCCCCCAAACACCACACCCGTTTCAAAAACCACACCCCCTTTCAAAAACCACAATAACCCATATTTTTATGTTCCCCCACCCACATGGGTCCATTTTAGACCTTAAAATAATTGATTCGCATTTTTTGCAACATAACTCACTGTGCACTCCCATTCCCCTCGAAGGGGAAAATATCACATTTTTCAACTTTGACGTCAAATATTTCGACAAATTCCCACCATCGCATAAACTGTCTCAAGAAACGATGGTTGTATTGACTTGGACCACATATTTTAAAATTTTAGCCAAATCGGAGAGTTACACTTCATACCATCGAATTGTCAGTAGACTGTAAGAATTTCGGTATTATTTCTTTATATATATGTACATATATACCTCCCAGGAATGTTTAGGAAGGTGGCCAAGGTGGCCATACTATTCGTATAATTAATTTAGTTATTACCTGCTAAGAAGTTTGAGACAACATAGGAGGAAATTAATTCCGACAAACAGCACATATAAAATCCAAGTAGTTCCCGAGTACGTTGTATGACAGGACATCCAAGTCTCAAACATTTGGATCGCAAATCTGGCCACGTAGTTTAGGAAACATGCGGGTTCTGCATCCGAGCGCCCACAATCCGCTAGCATTGAGAGGATGAATGGCGGAGTGCATGGAAGGAATTGCACTAATAGGAATACAATAATTTGGAATAAGAAAGCACTAACTTCTAACCAGACTAGAAACATCTTGATTGCCTTGGTTCGCAAGGACACTGCAATTCTTGGTAGATCTGGAATTATGAAGGAATGATTATTCAATTGTAACCAACAGAAGTTCGGCTACGAGACGTCATATCGGCTACGAGATTTAGAAAGCGTCGTAAAATTAATCAAATGAAGAAGTAAAAATGGCGCTAAAAGAAAATCAATTTTACAGGAATTGTGTTATCAACAGATAACTGTATCACAGTGTTAAGAATTCGAATAATTCTAGAATAACCTCATTAAAATCATTTCATTCTGCAAGTTTATGGTAAGCTGATTGGAACGAGTTATATCTGTTTATTCAGCATGTTGGCCACATGCACCACCCAAATTGTTAGCTGTACTTCTTCATGACGCTTACCTTTTATAATTTTGTCTTAGAAATCCAGAAAGGTATTTACGATCTGAACAGGAGAGATGTCAATGGAGTAATTCCATCTTGCAATTGCCACAAGCAGAAACGCCAACACGATTGTGAGTCCTTGGAATCCGGCTATATGTGATACTAAATGACCAACCATAAGTGCCATAACAATAGCAGCTTTCCAATCTTTCTACTCGTCTATCTTCTCCCAATATCGGATTATCCGCAAGTAGTTAATCATTAATTAATTTTACCTTTTAAACATGCACTCCACTCTCTTCTGCACAACTATCCCTCTCCAGTACACTCCACGCAGTCTTATCTTTATTATTATATACCTTTCTTATCTTTATTATTATACGCTCCTTTGTGGGCCCAAGTGGCCCCAAAAAGGGAATAAATAAGTTCATTCATTTATTCAAATGTAATGCTAAAAATTACGGAAATACCTTAACCCTGTCATGATGGAGCTAAAATTTTATTTGAAAGGAGCGTCATCACCCCGCAAGGTATAGCTTCTTTGATTCTAGTAATTTTGCTCGAAAGTGTATACATACATAATTATCCAGAAATTAATAAATAACTGGCGACTATCTCCTAAGCCATGATTTTACCAAGTTCGACATACTTATTTTATTCAAATCGAGTAAACCAATTTTACATCTGATAAATTTACTAGTTTTTAGTATATGCCGTTAAAATTATAAATTTAAATAATTCTGGCCGTGATCCTAGCGCACATTAGGACGGTAGCGGACGCCGCATCGGAGATTTCGGACGTGACGGGAACCGTGTTACCGACCGGGATGGCGCCAGGGGTGATGGACCACTGCAACGTGTACAGAGTTCCCGGTTGGACGGCCGAGTTGGGTACGACGGCGTCAATGATGGGGATCGTGTTGCCCATGAAGATCACGGTGACCTTGAGATGCAGCCCGGCTGAGGCGGCGGCAGGAATAACGTCCGCCTCCACGGAGTATTCGACGCCTTGCCTCATTTCGGCCACGGCTCCTTCGCAATCGCTAATTCGAACTTGGCTCACCTGCCCGGCCCCACCTACGCGATTCTAAAAAGACAATTTAGTGACAACATCGTTCCCGAGATTTTACATGAGTATTATGTGTACATTTTTACACAGAAGGGTATATTAAATGATTCAAGGCGCAAATACGAAAAACACCATACATACAAAAATCTGTATGTATGTATATATTATACCAAAACATTACACCCGACTATAAATATTTTGGGGATAGTTATTACCGAATTCGAACCATGTATGACCCTGAAACACTTATAATAAGGCATAGCAACGAGGTGGTAATAAATTTCCATCATGTTGGTACACTCCAAGAAACCTGGTAACTAATCCTAAGTTATTACCAGGCGAGTATCTACATATGTGACTCTACCGCATGGTAATTAATTTATTATCAAGTGGTACACATTTTGTAACCAAACTGGTATTAGCTTTGGTCACGAAATTTGAAAATATTACCAGTTGATAACTAATTTTCTGCCACTGAATAATAAATTAATTACCGTACGGTTGAGTCACATAGATACTCCGCCTGGTAATAACTTACTTGGCGGGTTTCTTAGAGTGTAATAATTCTTCACCAAAATGCAGCGCAATATTACTCACAATGCGATGGTGTGAAGTGTAACCCTCCGATTTGGCTGAAATTTAAAAATTAGGTGGTCCAAGCCAATACAACTAACGTTTCTTCAGGGAGTTTGTGCGATGGTGAGAGTTACTCAAAATATTTGAGGTCAAAGTTCAAAAAACGGCCGACTTTTTTCAGGCGGAGTGAGAAAACTCCACTTCCATTCTCTTCCCCTCGCTTTGATTTTATTCAGGCGTCTCGCTCATGCATACGCCTTCATGCTCAAGCACAAGCTTTGATGCAAAATAATAAAAAATAAACATTATTAATTATAGCTTAAAGAGCAATTAATACGCATTATACATACTTAATTTAATTTATAATTAAATAAGTGAGATTTTTACTTATTTCTAGTACAAATTTACATAAAAGTTAATTTATAAATTCGCCAACGGCAAATAAACATGGAATAACTTAACTTGCTTTCCATTTCGAAAGCGTTGGTTATTCTAATATCCAATTATATATTAATATTTTAAATGCTCCTGTGATTCGATATTGCTGGTACTCAAGCGGATCATGGGGTGATGACGAAAGGCCCGAGTTTAAAAATGTAAGCGAAGTTTGATTTAGAGAAAAAAATATTAGTTGCGACCTGAATTGTGGCAATCCCACATTCATCAAATTCAGCTGGTGCAGTTTATCGTACTGTTTTGTGGACTTTTATGAAAATAATCATATAGTCACATGTGGAATGAATAATTAATATTTTTCTATAAAAAATTAAATTTAAAATTGTTGAAATGAATTATTTTTCGGAGTGAAAATCAAAGCGAGGGGAAGAGAATGGAAGTGGAGTTTTCTCACTCCGCCTGAAAAAAGTCGGCCGTTTTTTGAACTTTGACCTCAAATATTTTGAGTAACTCTCACCATCGCACAAACTCCCTGAAGAAACGTTAGTTGTATTGGCTTGGACCACCTAATTTTAAAATTTCAGCCAAATCGGAGGGTTACACTTCACACCATCGCATTGTCAATGGTGTCAAGTAATTACCAAAAGTCTTAACGTATATTACACGCATAGTGAAAAATTATTTCCAGTCGACAAAAGCATGGTTGTGAACCTTGCGTGATACAAGAGCATACAATGTTTTCAAATCTTACCGCATCCTTCGTGTGTAACGACGCCAGCCGACGCGGCAACAATGCAGAGTGCAAAAATGGCGAAACCCTTCATTTTGACTTTTCTTTTAAAACTTGGACGCTTTAGTTTTCAAAAGGCAGACTGAAGTTTGCTCGTATCCATCTCACTCTTTTATACCGATCTGATCTTCCCTCAGGTTCCATAATTCGTGTGACGTTAAGCCGTCTCCGATTATACTTTAAACCCCTATATCACAATTGTTTTAAAATCTGGATTTGACTGCGCACACGGCCTTTGAAATAAATAGTCCTGACATAATTGCAATTTAATCCATATATTTCTACATTCCAACCGATATACATATTTAAATTCTCCGAAATCCTCTTCCATCTACATTTTACAACCCAGATATTTAAAGGATCAGCCTGCCCACAAAACTTGCTGATTGCACCAACCAAAACAATATTTACTTTAAGCATGTAATTGCGATCATCTCGTAATCCTTACTTGGGTAAATAAGTAAATTGGTAATGTAATAATGCATTTATGATAGGTTGCAACTTTGGTCTCTTATTTTTATAAATACGTCAATGTCAGTATTTTTATGCAGATTATTAAACTTTACCCAGGTGATAATTTACGTGCCCCTGGACTTTAATATGCCATCGTAAATGTTATCCATCTCACACCTCAAGTTTTACGACGTGGATTAGTTTGTATACCAAATAATTTTATTCGCTCATAGGTCGAGATAATAATAACACGGTTTGGAGTCCGGCAATTTTACAACATTCTAATATGATACATGAATACATTCATATTACACACAAATTATGGATTGTCCGGTGAAAGATAGTGTTAAGATTTCCCCTATTTTTTAAAACAATTAACAACTAATTTTGGATAAATAAAAAAACACAAAAAGTAGCAAATTTGATAAGCTTTCTAAAACTGAAAACAGAATTTGATTATTTCTTTTAATTAAAAAATGACTACAAAATTTAGTGGAAGTATAAAAATTAGTTTGCAACTCGGTCAAAAAAGTGTTTTCGCGAATCAGAAAGGGGCTCGTGACCACTTTATTCTTCGAGGAATGTCCCGGAAAAAATTAGATAAATATACACTAGACATATCTAAGGATCTTAAAAATTAAAAATATACAATTTTGCACTGTCAGCCTGTAGATATTATGTAAATATCATGTAAATATTACCCTCATTCCAGAAACATCTAGCTCTAAAATTAAACGATTTTTTAGCACATTCAGTTTTCGGTGTCACACAAATCGCTGCGATAATTATTTATAACACCTCTACTTGCATATTTGTGAATCTCACTTTGTTTTACAAATTGCCTGAACACCATTTAATCGAATTATTTTAAATATGATATATACACAATGTTTTAAATATATACTGATTATCATGACGGACGCATATTTATTTACACAAATGTTTTTACTAGTTCATCAAACCTATATTCATCATTGTGCGCTGGAATTTTTTCAGAATTTTGTATTAAATTTATTCCCACTTCAGAACACATGCTGAGATTGACCTCGCTTGACTTGTTGTCTTATTTCTCTTAATGAGACATGATTAAGGCCAAATTATTCTTCACCACAAGTTTGTAGTATTCGGTTTCGGAACCACCAATGGTTTGTTAAACTTTTACGTCTGCGGTAGTGTAGTATTTATATGCGGTGCATTGGCGGCGGAAGTTGCGGGGACATTTGGGGACATTAGCATCATGGGTGAGGGGGAGGGACTTGTTAACACGATTTTACTGAATTTCTCGGAGGACAATGTCCCCGTGCCCACTGGTTCCGCCGCCACTGATGACATGGTAAATAGCCACATCGTTTGCAAGACAGTGATGGAATACCGGTGCATATGTATGTAAATACCTACACTCTAAAAAATAATGTTACCCTTTTGTAAAGTAAATGCACTCTAAATTAATGAAATTAATTAAACTGTACTAAATCGCAGGTAAATTTTATTATGTATTTATCAAGTTAACGTTACTCTGGATTTTGTATGGTTTACTTAATTTGAAATTCAGAGTGTACATATTTACTGCTCAAAAGCGTAATATTATTTTAAGAGTGTATGTATTTACTTATGTAACCACAGTATGTGACTGAAACCGGAGATAAAATTTATAAAATTTATTAATTTGATTTAATTTACATATTTAATCTATTTATGGAAATTCGAATGGAACTTGGATCGCACGGGAAGGTCGTGAGGAATTAAAAAAACCGGAAGTGGAAACCAATGTGAGGTCAAGTAGGAAGTCAATTTTAGCGAGTGTGAAATTTATGTAAATTAATACATTATCGAATACCGTTTAGTCTCGCGTTCACTCCAGGTTAATTTTTGTATATATTTTTTTGCAAATTTTTGCATATATTCTGCCGGGAATTAATTTTTTTTGTAGAATGTAGCATTATAGTTAACAAGACATTATAGTTAACATTATAGTTAATCATACAGTCGGTCAGGTTGCTTAAGCTATATTTGTATTTATGTAAATATGGCTCACTCAATATCTACCAGAAAAGAATTCGTTTTATTGTTAGATTTAATAATTAAGAAGAAATCTCCTCACATAAATTGAAGAGTTTGTCACAGTGGTTGATTGACAATTTAGAAAAATAATCACTTGATTTTAGACAATTAATTCGGAATCAGTTCATTCATTTAATTAAATATTTTTTCACTTTTTGCTTACTTAATTCATAAAGAAATTTAAATCCCCTTTTCAATTTTTGTGCAGAAAACTGCAAAAAATTAGCAAATCCAGTCTTAATTTTGTGGTTTCCCTTAACGAAGTGTCGCTTGTTGTTTGCAAGTATTTAAAGCAAATACCATGTGTTAATTTTTTATTATAATTAAGGTGAATTCCTACACATTGTGCGTTAGTTATGCAAATTTAGAAGGAAAATCAAAACGAAAAATCATTACGTGACACGCAAACCACGTCGTCTAGCCAGGAAGGAAGCAATGTTGATAGTCGGGACGATTGTGTCTGTTGTCTTCATAGAAATAATGAAGGAGGAAAATTGATATTTTGCACAGATGGGTGAATTGCGTGACTTTAAACTCGACACTGGAGTTGAGACGAGGTAGTAAAAAATTTAGGGCCAAGCAATATCTGTACAACAAGGTTTAAATTCTTGAATACTGAGGGTGCACCGGTAATAAAAAGCGAACGATTTTGATTCGGTTTCGAGGTGAAAGTTTGGTACACATTATTGGTGTGCCATGTGTACGTGCATTTCACGTTTTTAGCACAGTTTTTTACCTCTTGGACAACTGTGGGTGGGTTATTTCTTTCTTAACAAAGTTATTTACTTGTGACACTCTTAGAAATCTGATAATAAATAATTTACACTGGATTTTAAGCAAGAGTGATAAATTATCACGGTTTGGTAATAAGTTGTCTGGCTAAGCTGTTTGGTATAAGTTGGTAATAAGTTGTAATAAGTTGATGTGGCCCGCATGCAGAGATACTGATTAACGAATCTCGATTAATGAATTAAGGAAATTGAGCTTAAGAATTAATTAATCAATAACCCCGTAAAATATTTTATGTAACTAATCTTTAATCTTTAATCCAGATAAAAATTTTGAATGGAATTAAAGATGGTAAAAAAATATCACCCAGAACTATATCAATATATACTCGATTACTGCATTGTAGAATTACAGGTTTAAATTTTTTTAAAGGGTCCCCAGATTTCTTAGAGTGTACCACTATTAGTTCAAGTCTGGTAAATCGGTGCGTTCCCTTATTATAAAAATTTTATAGCCAAAACACAACCACGATTATGTAAGATTATCTATCCGTCGCTTTTTAACCATTCACCCTCTGTTCAGTACTGTCATACATATTTTGTCTCATTTTAATATTTTTGATCATTATGTAAATGTCTTATGAAACTCCTCTCTCTTGTCCAATTTTGCCCAGCAAGTTCAACTTGCTCCGCACTCTCAGGCCAGCCGTCAGCCAGCACGGAAGCCAAATTAGTCACTCTTCAACAATCAATTCAATACATTTATGAGAGTCAATTCGGTCTTAATCTGTAAACCATTAGTTTTTCTTGACCATTAAATTGTAACTTAACATCAAAATTAAAACGCCCCCATTTGTGCTTTACACATTATTAACATCAAAGTTTTCCACTATTCACAATTACACATATAACATCCTCATCCAAAGTCACACAATTACCATTCACAGACCACACCCTTCTTCACCCTCTGTATTTAAGGGCTTTAAATAACTCAGCGTATGATGAGTGCAGCAAGCCCATGCAAATAAATAGATAAAACTGCCCAGGTAAGTTTGAGTGGCTGCCAAATCCGGATACTTCGAATTATCCGAAAAATCCGGATTTTTCGGATTTCGAATTATCCGAAATCCGGATTTCGAATTATCCGAAATCCGGATTTCATTTTGGAATGAATCCAGATTCCATTAATTTAAAAATTAATTTTCATGTGCATTGCAAAGATGCAAATTATTGGGAAAAGTGTAAATTAAAAAAAAATGTTCGTTATTCATCCCAGGTAGTTACTTTACCATATTCGACATCAAACTCACCTTTTTGAAATTTCTCATTTTTTAGTACATCAACTTAAAAATATACCAAGGTACTATCTACATCCTCAAAAAATTCTAAAACATGATGAAAATTAAAAAAAGCTTAACTTTGGATAAAGAAGTACCCGACTCCTATCAAACTCGTTCAAATATCAAGGAAGTTGATAATTACAATAAATAATTCAAATCCGGATTTGGGCCCACATGAAACCGGATAATCCGAAAATCGAATTTGAAAATTCGGAACGGATTTGGCAGCCCTAATCATTACAATCGGCCCATTCCCTTCTTACCCCTAAATTCCATTTACATTGTTGCTTTTATATGTATCATACCTTAGAAAATCCGAAGAATAATCGTGCCGTCAATATTGTGCTAGACTTTAACAAACGAGTTTGAATCCTTTCCACAAGTTTCCGAAAACACTATTTACTATGACACAAATCAAGAAACACCTATTAACCAAAGAGGTTCAAGACAATCTTATGAAAATGTCTGAAAAGTTATCTCTTATCAGTAATATGGCATTGGTCAAACAAATTTATCTCAATGCGACGGGAATGGGTAAGTTCTTATTTTACTTTATACCTAAGTCCTTTGAACTCTTTAAAAACGTAACGAAAACAATTTTCGTTTTATGCATTAGAAATTGTTTAATTTGGGAGAAAGACTAAAGTCATCCTGAAAAAGTGTGGTCATGGTTCGGCGGGATGAAGACAATTTTCGTTTCTAATGATTTTCACCACTTTCTCCCCGCGGAGTAAAATTTGTTGATTTTGAATATTTTCTCCAACACCAACCGAACGTTAAATTTTGATATTTTTCGGCCGGAAATCCGGGAATTTCCCAACATTTCGCAATGTTACGTGTTGGTGGATCCGGGCATAATGGGGACAACTTTACTGGAAAGGGAACAATACGGACACAAGAAACCTGGGCAATGATACAATATGGACAACTCAAGTTTTATGTGACTTTAAATTAAACAGAATTGTCCACCTTTCGTGTGTCCTAATTTGAACATTATGCAGATTTTTTTTGTCCGTATTCTGTATTCTGTAGTCCGCGTCAGTATATTGGTTTCCTCATTATGCCCTAAACCTAAGTGTTGGATCTTTTATTTTTTCGAGTTTTATTAAAACTACTGATTTCCTCATAGAATTAACGAAAGAAGAATTTCTCCACGTGGCGCGAATCATGTCGCCGTTCGTGACAGCGTTGGATGTCGACATTTTATTCTTATTGTGCGAATCACCCCATACAAAAACTGGTCAAATTAAGAACCCTGATGCACACGGAATCCAACCAGAACACTATTTGAACCTTGTAAGGAAAACATTTGCGGATTTGAAAGCCTTTGAAAGACCGGAATATCGCGTGGTTGGAGAGGTTATTCCGGAAGGTGTAGTCCGATTCACGGTGGGGGCCTTGGCGGGGGGTAAGATAAATGTCTATAAAGCTTGATAAGGATTGGAGATACGAATTTTTTTTACTTATGTACAAGGCGGTCAGAAAGTATGGTGTAGTTTGTTTTCAAATTAAGTAGCAATTGGCAATTAAAAAATACCAATTTTGACCAATTTTGACTAATTACTTATCTAAATAACAACTGTTATATACATAAGTAGGCTGGAATCCCCAATTAACTAATTAATTAGCACAACTGCGAATTAAGTGAGAAGTTCTAGGTAATTAAGTACAATTTTTTAAAAGTTTTTTTGATCTAATTAAGTAGTAATTTGAATTAGCTTCCGTTTACGTAATGAAGATTAATTGTAGTAAGTTACGTAGTTTAATTGGCTACTTGATTAGACTAATTAATTAATTAGAAAACCTTGGTTGCTGGTAAACTCCGTTTAACATTACTTGAGTTCACTACATGGAGTACATTAGCCGAATTATTTTATTATTTGACACCAATTATTTTCATTTTGGCGTTTAAATTATTCAATTTCGTATGACTTTTACAGACGCTAAAATGAAAATAACTTGTGCCAAATAATAAAATAATTCGGCTAATGCACTCAAAGCGGTGAACTCAAGTAACTTGAAACGGAGTTTAAGTCCTATTTGCCCTGACTATTTGTGAGAACGGATGTTGTTTTGCAGTTGTCGGAGCCACCGCCGTTTTTCCGGTTGACGTGGTTAAAACCAGGATGCAAAATCAGAGGAGCGGAAGAGGAGAATTAATGTACAGATCAAGTATTGACTGTTTTGGTAAAGTTATACGACACGAAGGATTTGGAGGCATGTACCGAGGCCTTGTCCCACAACTGGTGGGAGTCGTGCCTGCAAAGGCGATTAGATTGAGGGTAGGTTTACTTTTCATGTTATTTGCTCATAGCTGCGCAGCTTCTAACCGCTTCCGCCTATGGAGTCCACTTCCTATCAAAATTTGCGCTTCCAGCTTTCATCGCTTCCGAGCAGGGTATGCTAGCCCGGGATATTTGGGTATTGCGGGTTTTGGTGGGTTTTGCAGTAGCAAAAATGATCAATACCCACGGGTAGTTGGGGTTTTTAAATTTTAAAAAGTATGGTAACAGGGCTTTACTAATAATTTTACAGTTTAATAAGTTTCTAAAATTGAATTAATGAACAGATTCGTTGCTAAATTTCTGAAAAAGAAGGGTGTTTTCACAACTTAAGACATAAAGGCATGACTCAGTTTCCCCACAAAACCCCGACTACCCGTTAAACCCAGGTAGAACCCATGGGTATGGGGTTTCAATAGCAAAACCCCGGGGTTTTCCTTACCCTACTTCCCAGGAAAAATCGCCGCTTCCGACGTCCGGAAGCGACATCGGATGGCATAGCTCCAAGCATCTCCGACTTACGCTGTTGACAAAAATTTTCGCTTGCAACTTCCATGCTTCCACTTTCTACGAAGATTTACGCTTTCAGCTTCCGAGCAAAAAATCACAGCTTTCCGTTGTATTTACTGAAGCTGCTGCCGGCCTTGGAAGTTTAAAGCAACAACGGATTTATTTCCTTCGTTAAAATGTTATATTCTAACCAGGTCAATGACTTCGTTCGAGATAAATTGAAAAAGAAAAAGAAAAATACGATGCCGATCTGGTGTGAAGTGATGGCCGGTGCGTCCGCTGGGGCGAGTCAAGTTGCCGTTACGAACCCGGTTGAAATTGTAAAAATTCGGTTACAAGTTGCCGGTGAAATGCATATTCGAGGGAAGATTGGTGGGTGGAGCGTCCTTAAAGAGTTAGGATTCTCGGGATTGTATAAGGTATTGAAGGAATATATATGTAGCTTGGTTATTAAATACACCGCTAAAACCAGTGTAAGCAAGGGGTGAAAGCTGAGTGTTATCGGTCAAACTGAGCAAATATTATGTTTGCCCTTCCAAAATCAGTTGAAATTGATACGTATTTTCAACACTTGTGGCATATGCATCAAATTTAACAGTTGATGACCTCTAAGTCACCTTGTGTGACCTTTGAGGTCCGAATAGTGGTTACCGTTGAAGTCGGCGTTAAGTTTCAGTTCCAATTGAGGAATGTATGAAATTTGACCTTTACACGACATTCCATAACCTATGGACCCAGACGGGTGTGACCTCCAGTGTCCACCTTCGACCTCTTCATGTCCCTTGACATTGGGTGCTTATGTTCAAAATTTCAGGTCTCTAAGACCAACGGACAGACGGACATAACGATCTTATAAAGGGCTTTCACCCCTTAATAATTAAGTATATTCTAATTGATCAATTGATTACTTAGGGCTCTGCGGCATGTTTTCTTAGAGATGTCCCCTTCTCGGCGATGTAAGTTGTGCAGCAGCGGGAAATTTAAAAGGATTTATGTAAATGTTTGAAAATGAGGCAAACTTTTTAAATATGTATCAGCTTCTTCCCCGTGTACGCTCATGCTAAAGTGAAATTTCAAACCGATACTGGTCACAACGCCCCGTGGACATTGTTCATATCTGGAATTATTGCGGGTGTTCCGGCCGCTGGTCTCGTTACACCGGCGGATGTGGTCAAAACTCGGTTGCAAGTTGTACCCCTGGCTGGACAAACTAGTTACACCGGAGTTATCGATGCAGTCCGCAAAATTTGGAGGGAAGAAGGCGGGAAAGCTTTCTGGAGTGGGGTTAGTTAAGATTTTTTGAATAATGGTGGGAATATGAAACTAATAATGATACTTTTAGGCGGGTGCTCGTGTGATACGATTTGCTCCACAATTTGGTGTGACATTGGGTGCGTATGAAGTTCTTCAAAGATTTTGCGACGTTGATTTCGGGGCGAGATGATATAATAGTTTAATTGGGTTCGTGGTTTTGTGGGTTTAATTGTGTTTGGTATTTAGTATTTTTCTTATACATGTATCTATGAATAAAATACTGCTAAGGTTCCGCTGGTAATTTTTGAATTTTCATCAATATTTTTTTTCTCCAACGGACTTAAGAATGCACACTATTCGACTGTAATCTTTAGTACTTATATAAATATAAATGTCTACTTTTGTTATTCCTTCAATTATACACTCAAAATAACGTAGTAATGAATCATTACCATGCGGAATGACTATGTAGCTCTACCACGTCGGTTACGATTCGTAGTAGAGATGGTAATAATATGTTCAAGGAAATTCAAATTTAATACATAATGGTATTCACATCCTTAATATTTGGTAATGAATTTGAATTTCCCTGAAATTATAATTACCATTTCTACGACAAATCGTAACCGACGTGGTAGAGACACATAGTCATTCCGTATGGTAATGATTCATTACTACCTTATTTTGAGTGTACATAAATATTCCTACATATAATTACTAATCAACATTGGTCTTTCACGTAAGACAGTAATAAGGTATTGACAATGTTGTTTTGCAGCGTGCTTACACAAGAATAAACTTAACGTTAACATATATTTAGATACATACATACATGCAGTTAAACATATGCATGTATGTAAATAATAAGTTGGAGGTTAAAACCAAATGCGCTATTTATCAAATAAATACCTACCTAGGCGAAATAATTGGATAAAAATATTTCATGGAAAAAACGTCCAAAATAAGTACATTTGTACATTGCAATAAATATAAAAATACCGTAAAACCTCTATTTATAGCCCTATTCTAATTATAGCCGTTATCCACATATAGCCGGATCTAGAGACCAAGATTTCAAAATGTTAGCCGGGTCTCTAATTATGGCTGTCTTGTCCGCTGTGTCCCCGTTCATAGCCAATCCATGAATGCTCTATATTGCGGGAATTCCACGAATGAGGTCAAAATTTATAAAAATTTTAATTTCATATGACCAAAAATGCATCCATTCATGGCAAATATAATATTAAAAATTAGCGCGAAATAAAATTTGGCCGGGTCTCTAATTGTAGCCGGGTCTGTGACGCCCAGTTTTTGGATTTTAGCCCCGGCTATAAATAGAGGTTTTACGGTATTCATTTACATTTATAATTGTGCAATCCCCATATTTGCATGAGTTCTTCGTAAGTACTTATTAATAATGAGTCATTATACGACCTAAGTTCACATCACTGCCAATCCAAATTGCGACGAGGGCTTATAGCCAGTTTGTGCCATATAAAAAGCGATAAAGTGCTCATACGTACACTCTAACAAGATCGGTAACTAATTTATTGCAAGGCGGAGTATGCATCTATGTGACTCTACCGCATAGTAATTAATTTATTATTGAAGTTCTCTCATTTACATAAATGACACACCAAGAAATAAAAAGGGCTATAGAGGGATATAGAGTTCACCACGTGTGACTCGCTCATATTGGGTTGGATTTGATTTAATTATCGTATAGTAGCACTGGCAGGCTAGGTTTCGTTCATCTATGTGTATATGGAAGTACTACATTGCTCATTAACTGGAAAACTCGATTGGATCAATACTTGCGAAGAAATGAAAATAAGTATTTCCCCGATTCTTTAGAAAATCCAATTTTCACGGTGGCTTGCGAATATATTATGTACATAGTTTCGATATTTCGTTATCAGAATTTAAATCCTACACCCTAAGAAACCCGGCAACTAAGTTATTACCAGGCGGAGTATGTGACTCCACCGCATTGTAATTTATTTATTGTTGACTGGTAGACATTTTTCGTCTGGTAATTAATTAGTTACCAGGTTTGCATAAGAAGCACACTTCACAACTGATGTCTGAATTGAACACTGACGACCGGTTTCGTAAATCATCATCAGGCCGTGTTCTGATAATAATCACATGATTATTATCATGTGATAAAAATATGGCGTTAATGAGGTAAATTATCAACTCTTACTGTTCGGAGCTGATTTTACATTGTAGTTTTGTGTCATTGTGTCACTACCGCCTTGGGTAAGTCAGAAATATATTGACACCGGTGGAAAAATTTTATTTTGAGTGTATCACAAGATGTCTACATAGATATCAGCATTTCGAAATTTACTGTACCATTTATGTAAACTCCATGTTGAAAATTAGGTATGGGATAGATTTTATTTTCACCATGTGCAACCCTGTTTACCCCAGCTTACCCCATGCCTTGATCTAAGAATAACTTGAGGATTTAATTAAGCTTGCCACGCTCCTCATGATACGATGGGTATCGATAAGTAATCTATACTTTATTAAATCAATGCTTCCACAAGAAATGCGTAGGTATATTTATCCGAAACGAAATTCTACCTTTCACACGTCACCCTAGATTTCGCACAGACAAAAATGTTCTCCGCTAAATTCCTTCCGATTCTTAGATTTCACTTGAAATTTTGCAAATTCTTAGATTGCATACCTTTTCGGTACAACGAAAATCTGGGGCGATTAGTCCCAATAAAGGATGGTTATTCCCTGTTCAAATTTAAGCTCCAGTGCGTCCTCTCTGCCCTGTATTGTGGCGCGATGGGGGCAAACATTTTCCTTGGGGGGTTGAGCACGACGAATAAATTGCAAGGGTCCATATTCCTCATGACATATTTGATCTGCGCCGTGTCCCGGTGGAACTACGGGCTCAGTCCGGGACCAATCCAGGTGATCAATGCCTTCCTGCAGTATGAGGCTGGGCCGGTGAGAGGTTCGGATAATAGAGTTTTATAATTTATTCGGCCTAATTAAGTATGTCGCATAATTGACGTGGCATAGGTATGCCCACGAGAAGATTCGCAGATATTTAAAAAGTTTGGATTTATTTTGCAAAATATAGTTTTCTTAAAATTACGTACATAAATAATAAATGCGGATGTATTTAATGCGTTTTGTAAAAAAAAATTCGCAAATATCGCTAAATTGTTTACGAAATTAGTTACAAAACCATTTATGTCGCAAACCTTGAATGGCAAATTTTTCTGAGAAGGCTCCAGAATTTTTAAAGAAGTCTAAATACGAGCTTGGTTTAATTTCGCAAAATATACATATTTTTTTAATAAAAACATCAATGGAGAAGTAAAACGTATTTTCTTATCGCAAGATTGTTTTTTCTTACGAAAATAATTGCCCTGCTCTACCGACCACAGATCTCCTCCATATTTCCATGCAATCTGGGGTCGTCAAACTAATGAGGATCTTCATCTGGCTAATGGAGTTCTCAATTTGTGTCATCCCAATCCTACAACTTGTCCTGCTGACCTATGCCCCTTGCACGGCGCCCTTCATCCTCTCCATGACTCCGAACTGTGGGGAGCGAAGGAGTCCCGGATTTCAGGTGGGAATCCACCTCTTCGAAAGCTGGATGGGGTATCACACCATGTACTCGGGGGCGACCTGGTTGTGCTACGTTTTACTGGGCGGGATAACCGGATTTCTGGAATATCTCAAGATTATGGAGATGTTAGTGACATAATTTGATTCATCACGGAAAAAAAATGATGTTAATGGGATCTCTGTGATTTTGTGTTCATATCACAGTTGTTATTATACGTTTCGCTATATGGAAAATGTCATTAAATCCCAGGATAATAATTAAAAATAGCTGAATACGTACGCTAATTATATTAAATCACGGTGTGATGATCACCAAAATCCCAAAGTGTGATAATATAAAGAACATGTTAAGAGTGTGATGATCATACTAAATCACAGAAACACACAGTACTGATTATCACACTCGCAATGCGATGGTGTGAAGTGTAACCCTCGGATTTGGTTAAAATTTTGAAATTATGTGGTCCATGTCAATACAACCAACCATTCATCAGGCAGTTTGTGTAAGGGTCAGAATTTGCTAAATATTTGAGGTCAAAGTTGAAAAAGGGGCGATTTTTCGCACTCGGAGGAAACGAACTCAACTTCCATTCTCTTCCCTTGCTAAAAATCGCATAGGTATTTGTCAACTTTACCCTCAAATATTTTGACAATTTCTGACCATCGCACAAACTGCTTCAAGATACATTGGTTGTATTGACATGGACCGCATAATTTCGAAATGTTAACCAAATCGGAGGGTTACACTTCACACCATCGCGTTATCAGAACGATAATCAATTCTTGGCCCTTGTTTCACAGGCAAATCCAAAAAATACAGAATCACACGGATTTATCCGCCTGCTTCCGAACATATCGGTGTCTTCAACTCTTGGAAAAGGTGTTCAATGCCTTCCTCATGCGTCGCGTGGTGCCCGCCTTGCTCCTCTGCAGCCCCGGAATACAGCTGATTGCTCAATACGTCTGCATAAATCACCATGACGACGTGTCCATGCCAGGCTTCGTGATATTCCCCCTGATGGGGCTGGACGCTATTGTAGCGAACATTTTGATCTACACGTTTGCCTCCGCGGTTCATAGCGCGTCGTCCAATGTGCGACCATCCATGCTGAGAAAGGGGATGGAGCTGCGGGGATATGTGCAAAAACGAGGCCTCATCAAGACGCAGGTCGCATCCTTGTCCATGCTCAAGGTGAAATTCGGGTCAAACTTTATCGATCGAGGAACCCCACTAAATATTCAGAACTTTTGTTTTACTCAAACCATGTCGCTGACTTTGATCAGGGCGAGGAAATAATGTGCGTTGTAGAATTAAATTGGGGGATGAAATGTGTTCTTCTTTTCTAATCAGTAGATAGAGTGTGATTTTAGAATTATGTATTTTTACTGACTTTTTTGTGTTTTTGGGATTTTGTGAAAATAATAAAATTAATTGATTTGACCCTAAATTTGTCTCATGATGAGTGCATAATCCTAATAATTGCACGCAGCGTCACCCGTGAATCCTTCTGTCCAGGTTTCTGACTGGTTTATTTCTTCCTCGACATTTGTACATAAATATCGCTGCATTTTATGAATAGTCTACCGACAATGCAAGGTTGTTGGCCAATACCCTAAGATTTCGATGGGACCAAGTTTATTTTTTTAGGAACCAAATTAAGCAGACATGTATTTTTATAGTTTCTTGACC